TTTTTACTGCGGGGCGGATTATTCTCCGTTCCCCGGATTGGGTTCTTCCTCCATTCACATGTAGATCATAGATCATTTATTGGGATCAATTAGTTAATACGTAGATAGATAGATAGATAGATAGATATTTATCTCTCAATCAGTCTTTATCTTATTGTCTTTTCTTGTATGATGGAGGAAGATACTTCTGTACCGTTCCTGATCTACTACCCCACCACCCCGATCCATGGACAATCTGAAGATTCTATACCCCATATCAATACAGTGCCAGATCGGCTCTATTCATACACGAGACTATATATCTCCGTCATTCTGGTTAGATCTTAGGACATGATCAAAATAATAATAAAAAAATGTCAGGAAAGTCTTCCAACGCCGGTAATGCGGGCGCCCATAGAAATGCCGGCCCAAGAACGCCTGCTGTGGTGCCTGTGATTAAGGTGCCTGTCCGGAGGCACATCCAAAAAAAGGATAGACAAAAGGAGAGATAAAAGATAAAAGGAAGAAAAGGAAGAAAGGGAAGAAAAGGAAGAAAGGGAAGAAAAGGAAAGAAGGCGCCATGGAACACCAGGCTAAACACAAGGAGGGAATGTCACTCGGGAGCAAGATTGCTCCCTCCAGGAGAATTCGGGAAAGAAAAAAGAAGAAAAAAAAAAAAGAGACTGTAGACTTCGACTAGCGAAATCATTCATCATTCATGCAATCCGGTCAAAGGAGGGGAGGGGGAAAGATCACTCCCCCCAATTCCAGTGGGGAGGCGTCCAGTCCACCTGGGGTGGCCCCTCGTCCGACACGCACACCGCCGGCGTCGTCATCTGCTCCATCCGTCGTCGCTCCTTCGTCCCGCTACCCGTCAGGAAATTCTTCAGCGTCGAGGACGCCGTCCCGTACGCGCTCCGCGCACTGGCCGCCGTGCCCGTGCTCGTCGACACCGTGCTCGAGCTGCGCGCGCTGCGCACGCTGCGCGTTTTGTACATCGTCGCCGGCAGCGGGGGTACCGGCGCCGCCAGCCGTCGGGATGGCGTGCCCCCTGCCGCACCGGATCCCGGCCCCGCCAGCCCGGCAAACGGCGCCGTCTGCGGTCGCTGGCCGGCGTCAACCGCGATTCGGCGACCCCCGTCGAGACGCCCGTCCAGCTCCAGCGAGTTCGGGTTGCTGCTCCCGTCGCTAGGGTGGGGCGACGGCGGCAGCCGGTCTGTCGTGGGCGGCGAGGAGGACGCGACCTCGTCGGCGGAGATGGTCACCTCGAACTTCAGGTGGTCAAGCATCGTCGCGAGACTGGTCGCCGTGGTCGGACGCCCGTCGCTGCGACCGTCGTCGAGGTCGAGGTCGTCGGCGACGGCCTCGTCACCCCCGTGGGCCAGGTGGTAGTTCCGGAACAGGTACCGCTGCAGGCGCGCGCCCTCGGCGTCCCACTTCTGCGTCAGCGCGTGGAGGATGACCTCCACGTCGTGGTGGAGGAAGGGCGTGGTCTCCGAGGCGGCCAGGTGGGCCGGCGCCGACAGGCCCGACCTCCGCAGCGGACCGGACGGGTGGGAGGGCGGCTTGGTCAGCCGCGACCCCGTCGTCGCGTGCTTGCCGCTGCCCCCGGTCATGGCCACCTGGAGGGACCGGCGGATCGCGCTCGTGGCGGAGGACGTGGAGGAGCTCGGCCCCAGGGTGCCGTCCCGCTTCACCCCCTCGACCTCGCGGCGCACCTTCTCCAGCGACCGGGCCCGATCCCCCTCCATGCCCGAGAGGCTCAGAAGGGTGCGGTTCCGCTGCAGCCCGTTGACCAGGACGGTGAAGGACTGGAGGTTGAGGTCGTTGTTCTCGCAGTGGACGGCGCGAAGGCTGCGGTTCTCCTCCAGCACGGTCGACAGCGTGCTGGCACCCTGCAGACCCAGCTTCTGGTGCTCGACCCGCAGCACCTGCAGCGTCCGGTTGCGCTTCAGGCCCGTCAGCGCCAGGTTGAGGCCGATGCCGAACCGCGCCACGTCAAGGTGGGCGCTCTCCCCGCTGATGTCCAGGTCCTCGAGCGTCTCGTTCTCCTCGAACATCCGCTGCAGCGACCGGCACGTCTCGGGCCCCGCGTCGGCCGGGAGGGAGGCCTTGGCGATGTCTAGGTGCGTGACGGTGCGGTTGACCCGCAGGGCCTCGACCAGATCCCGAAACTGCGCCTCCGTCTTGAAGTCGATCATGCGCATGGACAGGTGGGTCGGGGCCTTGTCCTGGGCGATCGCGTCGCGCAGGAAGGTGCAGCCCAGGTCCAGGCGGTTCTCGTTCACGTGCAGGTGCAGGCGGCGCGGCCCGTCGGCGAGCGCCATCGAGTGCAGGAAGAGGGCGACGTCCTGGCCCGTGAGGCCGCACTGGTCGAGCCGGAGCACCCGCAGGCCGCGCGACTGGTCGCTGGCCAGGTAGGTGGCCAGGGCGTCGACCGACTCGCGGTTCAGGGCCGTGCGGCTCAGGGAGAGCTCCTCCAGGCGCCAGTGGAACAGGGTCTCGGCGGCGAGGAGGGGCTCGGTGCCGGACACACGCGCGATGCGCGACAGGTCGAGCGTCCGGATGTGGGCGAAGTGGCCGAGGTACTGCCGGAGGAGATCCGGGTCGAGGCGGCCCTGGACGCCGGCGATGTTGACGGCCTCGAGCGTGGCGCCCTGGGCGACCGTGGTCGACAGCAGGAGGTCGAGGTCGTGGACGGACAGGCCGCAGTGGCCGACCTCGAGGGCGCGCAGGTGGCTCCCCTGCTGGGAGGCCGCGTCGACGAGGTAGTCGAGGTCCGAGTCTCCCAGCCGGATGCCGGTCAGCACGATCCAGTCGACGTTGGTCATCTCGCGGCGGCAGACGGGGAAGAGGGCCTCGGGGATGCCGCATCCCGGGTCCCGGCTCTCGCTGTCGGCGGTCGGAATGCGGCCGGAGGTGTAGGCGAAGTCCAGGCGCCGGAGCCAGCGGCTCTGCAGGGCCAGGGCGCGGATCTCCTGCGACAGCACGGACAGGTTCTCCTGGCCCGGGATGTGGACGGGGTCGCCGTCGCGGGTCCGCAGCAGGTCGGTGTCGAAGCCGTGGGGGTCGCGGACGCCCTGGAGGGCGTCGAGGCTCACGCCGGCGAAGGAGATGGAGCGGAAGGATTCGTTGTAGCGCAGCGTGCGCATCACGGCGATCAGCTCCAGCGGGGAGTAGCGCTGGCGGGGGGCGCCGGCCGGGGGCAGGAGGCGGAAGCCGGGGGCGTCGTCGCCCTGGCCGTCGTCGATGGTGTAGCGGATGTTGGAGGTGTCGACGTCGAAGCTGGCCGAGTAGGCGACCAGGGTGCGGTCGAAGCAGCCGTAGTCCTCATCGAGGTCCACGGGGGGGAAGTTCTGGTTGTTCTGCAGGTCGCGCGGGACGATGAAGTCGTAGGGCTGGCGGGTCCAGAGGGGCCGGAGGTACTCGGTCTGGCGACGGATCCAGCAGGCAATCTCGAGCGAGTGGACAGAGGCCAGGAAGACGGAGAAGGGGCGGCGCAGCGGGACGCGGAAGGTCAGATGCAGGCTGTCGTCCCCCCACTCCATGGACAGGCAGGTCAGGTTCATCAGGCCGAAGGAGGCGGCCGCGGAGGCGTCGAGATCGGCCAGGGAGACGGCGGAACCGCGGCCGGTGACGATCTTGTGCAGCGGGATCAGGTGGAGCTTGTGGGAGCCGAGGGCCAGATAGCAGCCGGTGGGGGACAGCTTGGTGAGGTCGTCGGAGGAGGGGGCGGCGGCGGCGGCGGCGGCGGCGCGGGCGGTGGTGGGCGAGGGCTTACTCGAGGCCATCTGGATGACGCGGAACATGCGGAAGGTGTGAGGATCGTAGTCGCGCTCGTGCTCCAGCACGCGGGTGACACACTCGAGGGGCTTGGGGTCGAAGGGGAGCGGGCGGGACGCACGGGCCAGCCCCGCGGCGGAACGGATCCCCACCATCCACAGGCTGAGTTCCTGGAGATCGGGGGTCTGCATCTGGATGAAGGTGGCCTTGTGGGCGCGGTCGTCGAGGTAGGCGACCTCGACGGTGGAGGAGGGGCGGCCGTCGTCGAGCATGTAGACGGCGACGATGCTGTGCAGGGAGATGCCGGCGGCGGGATCCGTGGCGGAGGCTGCGAGCTGCGGGTCCTGCAAGGAACTGACGGAGGCGATGGATTGCCGGTTGGCGGCCGTGCGGGCAAAGGAGGGGGGGATGGAGGGGAAGACGTCGGCGGCCTTGCTCTGGTTCTTGAAGCGGACGAGGTGGGTCTCGGTCAGGACGAGGTACTGGCTCTTCTTGCGCCACATGCCGCCGGTGGTCTGGACCTCGCCGTGATGGAGGATCATGGAACCGATGCCGTCGTCGTCATCGAGGACGAGGGACGAGGCGGCTTTGGACCGATTGAGGGAGTGGTTGTCGTCCTCGAGGGAGTGCAGCGACCGCAGGGACCCGAAGACGGAGGCGCGCTTCTTCTGCTGGATGGATTTCCGGCGGGGGCGAAGGGTATCGTGAGGGGTGGTCATCCCGTTGGGAGCCAGGAGGGAGTCGACCGTGCCGGCACGGCGGTGGCTCTGGGGGATGGCAGCGGCATCCGGGACGGGGCTGGGGTTCCGGGCGCCGAAGAAGCCGGAATTTCGACGGGATCTCTTCTTGCTGGTGTGAACATCGTCGGATGGGGAGCGATCGTGGGCGGGGGGGCCGAATAAGGGGGGAGCGGAGGAGGCGGAGGGACTGAAGACGCTCAGACTTTTTCTCCGTTCTTTCCTCGCGAGACCTTCAGCCATGGTGGCGAGGGACGGAAGGGGGAGAGACGGAGTACAGAGTGGAGAGATGGGGGGAAGATTGAAGGGAAGGATTGAAGGAGGGGGAGGGGAAGAGGAAGAGTGGGGGAGAGACAAGAAGAAAGAAAAAAAAAGGGAGAGAGAGAGTGAGAGAGAGGGCCCGAAAGACTTGAAGAGACAGGGAAAGCAGGTCAGCGATGATGTTTTAGAAGATGAGGAGATGGTAAGACAACAATCGGGACTAGTGACTAGGGTGGTGGAGAAGAGCCCAGGGAAGCCAAGGAAAACAAACGACATACAGCAAGCGGTTGAGAGTCAGGATGCCATGGGACGAACGAGGCTCATCTGGACTGGATTCCGGGGGGATTCCAGAGATGTCGAGTACAACAAACCTGTTGTTGATCTAGTGATTGAGACGGCTGAACGAACCGGGAGGAAGAATGTTTGATCGGATGGAATTGGAAGAAGAAGGAAATCCCGTCAAGAGAGTGAGTGGATGGAATTGAAATGTTGAATGGCTGGATTGATAATGGAATAGACAAGAGAATGAAATGGATGAAGAGAAAGAAGTGAAGAAGAGAAGGTAAAGAAGAAAGAAAGTCAAGAGAAGGAGGAGAAGAAGAAGAAGAAGAAGATGAAGAAATGAGATCAGAAATGCAGATCGGAAGCGAATCCACAGGCCCCGACCGAGGGAGTGGATGATGTCAAGGGGGCGATGATCGTTTGCGATCAGAAAGCATTGGAATGTGGATTTGGAATTGGAATCGAATGGAGATCGGATTGGAGGAAGGACACGATCCAGCCGGATGCAGAAGAAGAAGAAGAAGAAGTTGAGGGGAAGAAGGAGAAGTGAAGAGAGAGAGGAATGGGCCAGATCCGTCAGGTGTCAGGGAGGCAGTTGGCACATTCTTCTCTCTATCTCTACTCTTCACTCTTCACTCTTGACTTCTCTTCTGTACTTCTCTTCTTTACTTCTGTACTTCCTTCTTGACTTCTCTTCGTTACTTTCCTTCTTGACTCCTCTCCAGCTCTCCACTAGTAACGAGATGATCTATTCCGTCCTGGTCAATTCCCCTGAATCAAGCAGATCCCAATGACATCAATGACGCCATTCCTTTCCTTTCCTTCCACCTCGACTGTTCGGTTGGTCAGGTCATGCTGATAGTCCAGATCCTTTCAATTCCCCAGAGAGAACATAAAGTACAATCTCGAGATACATGGCGAACTCCTGATTTATCCGAGACAGGGGAGCTCCATCGTTCCTGGTTCGAACCATGGTTATCCCCCCCCGGACTCCATCTCCGCCTTTATCCGGGACATAAAATCAGGAACTTCTTTCTTTAGACTCGGGACTGAAATAAAAGCTCAACGTCTAGAATTTATTTTTTTAAAGCTGATCATGGAATCATGCTATTGATACAATCCATTATGATCTGTCGCTTTCCAGCGAGCTCCGGGCCTCCGTGCTGAAAGGCTGGCAAGATCCTATCTACCTAGCGCAAGTCTATGTATGCCGGTAACATCACAAAAATGAAAAAAAAATGAAAAATACTAAAAGGATATAAGGGGTACAAAGACAGTTGGAAGAAAGGATCAACAAGACAAGCCAAGAAATTCTCCCAAGCAAACAACCTGTCAAATAGCAGCCGAGTGCCCTGCCTGGCAGCGGCTCCCCGAACAACAGATCGCAATCATCTGGCCAAAACATGTACACGGCGAAGCCTTAAACCACAGTAATTAGGATGTTAAAACAGGCGCTCGAGGCAAAGCTGGATCCCGTAAACTCCATGCATGCACGCCAAAGGAGACGGAACTCTCCGGGGGGGAGAAAAACCAAAAGAGAGCCACCCGGGAGGAGAAATGTGGGGGGATGAGAGGAGCTTCAAAGATGTAGGAGGTCGTGTCACGCGGGCATCTAACGCTAGTAAAGCAAATGATGACAACAAAAGAAAAAGAAAAAGAAGAGAATTAATCACGTCGACTGTAAAGTTCATACGACGTTTCGGTCGCACCGCCAATCTCCTCGTCCTCTTTAAAACTCACCCGACGCAACAGGGTGGGCATGACGCCCCGGCGCGTCGGGGAGGAGCGGCGGGACCCCGACAGGAACGACGGGATCTTGGTGTACCGGTAGCGGTACTTGGATCCCAGCAGCATGAGCCGCCCGTACATCCACCACACGGCGAACCCGACCGTGGCGGCCAGGATACAGCCGAGGAGGGTGAGGAAGACCCAATGCTGGCCCATCCAGAAGATCAACCGGGCGTCGGACCCGTGCCAGCTGTTGCCGACGTGGTGGGTGAAGAAGCTCCACGAGTACCGGTTGTACTCGTCCTGCATGAGGATGCGGACGCGCCCGGCCTCGGTGATGCGCTCATGCATGTACTCCTTCCAGATGACGGAGAGGAAGAGGGGGCCCGTGGAATACATGACGGTGATGTAGGGGAGCAGCCAGCTGCGGTCGTAGGACTGCAACAGCTCGATCACGCGGAGGAAGAACGGGTGTTGGGGGACCGAGCCCATGGCGTCATTGGATATCCCCGTGGGCGCGGTGCGGCGCACCCAGGCGGGGTACGCGAGGAGAGGATCTAAGCGACGGTTGCAACCCTGCTCATGTCAGATCTGTAGATGTTAAGCAGAAAGGATTATAGAAACGTACATCGTCGAGATCAATGTAGGTGCCGCCGTAGTGGGCGAGGACGAAGTATCGGATGGAATCGGCGCGTTGGATGGGGAACTTGTAGCCGTCAAAGGTGTCGAGGAACCAGGGATATTCGTGGGCGATAAACTCGCGCGCCTTTTCATTCGTCCACAACTGAGCGACATTTGAGTTAGTATTTGTAGGATAGACGAAGAGAGAAGACGGGTCGAAAGAAAAAAAGACATACGATGTATTCATAATCCGGATGTAACTCGATACAACTCCGTTGCGCATCCTTCCAGACCTCGGGAATGGTCTCGTTCTTGTAGGTCTGGTGGATAATCTTGGGAATGATCTGGGGGCGTTGTTCGATCAAACTGGAATTGGGCGAGGGGAGCTCGGCGCGGTGGATGGAATCGGCCGAGGCATCTTCGATGAGCAAGGAAAGCAAGGTCGAGACGCTGCGGACGAGGAAGGAGAGGATGAGGAAGTTGACGAGCAGAAAGATGATGACGCCGCGACGCATGATGTCGGTTGGGACAGGGCCTTGAATTGGCACCTGTTTGACGGGGGGAGGGAGATGAACAGGCAATCCAATTCCACCCGCTAATTCACCAGACCAATATACCACCACTCGAGAACAATTGAAACGGGGGGGGGGATCGAAAGAGCTTCAACAAACACCCATTCAGCTGGTTGTTGGAGGGACGGTTTGGAGGGACGAGTTGGAGGGATGGGGAGGGACAGGATGCGATGCAGTCCAGATGCGAAGGTGGCAGTGAAGGTCGGAAAGAATTCTTGTTGTGTTTAGGTGTGACGGCGTGACAGGAGGGCAAGATGACGGCCAATCCCTTCCTAGTTAAGTGGGGGGGAGGAGGTATTTTTTGGGGGGAGAGAATCCGAGAGAGGAGGGAGAAGGGAAATGGATTTTGTTTGTCTGGATGGCCCCCGTGGGTGGAGACCGAAGGAAGACTGGAGACTGGGAGACTGGAGACTGGAGACCAAAAGAGGATCCCAAGGGGGAGACGGAGAGAAAGAGAGAAAAAGGAACGTTGGGACTGAAATCGAATGAATGGAGCCGTCAAGGGACCGCGGGAGGAGAAAAAGGTGAAAAAGGTAAGGACGGACAGGAAGGTTTGGAACCACGAGCGGCGAAGTGGGAACAATTTGCGACTCTCTTTTTGTTGGGTCCCTTTTTTTTTTTTTTTTTGGCCAGGACCAGGGGATGAATGGATGGAGAATGGAGAGATGGGGAAAAGGAGACGGGGTCAATCCTTTTCTATTTTTTTTATTATTATTGATTCTTTTTCTTTTCCGCTTCTCTTTTCTCCTTTTCTTTGTATTCTTTCTCCTGGTTTGGTTTAATATAGATTGAATCGATGAAATGAAGATCGAACAAGGAATGAAGGGTGAACCGTTACTTAAGATATATCCAATGAGAGAATCAGCAGAAAGGAATGAACGACACCGAGCAAGGCGTCCAAAGATACAGAGTGGAGAGAAGGACGAGGGAGAAAAGAAAAGAGAGAGAAAGGAATAGAGTCAGGGCCAATGATGAATCTAACTGCCTAAGGAATGATAGCCCAGGCTAACCAGTCACTAGTACTAGGTTAAGGGTTCAGGGGTTCTTGGGTGAAGCTAAGCCTCCATTATTAGTATTACCATTACTATTGTCCAGCCTCGTCATCGTGGCGGTTCACTCGGTACGGAGTACTAGGTTACCAGATTCTATTCCCTCAATCGTTCATGAAATGTCTACTGTCCAGTCCCAACCATGAAAGTACTTACGTGGCGCCCTCATATCCTCAGGTGCAGCCTGTCAGGTACAGTCGCCTCTTTAATTCCTCGGGATTGATCTGGATATTGGCCACTGTCTCCACTGGGCTAACCAGAATAAACTTAAGGAAGTGGGCTCTTCCTCTCTTTTGTTTCTTCATTTTTCTTGTTTCCATTTTTTCTCTTCCCATTACTTTTTGGTAGAAAATAGAAAGAAAGAAAGAAGAAGAATAAGTTATGTACCTTGATATAGCCGCTGTCGTACGCCGCATCTGTCGTACCACCTGCAGCTTGCAGCAATCATCACATCAATACCACCAATAGACCGAAAGACACACTAAGAATGGAACGGCTCAAGAGTAGTTTACTAGTCAGTACTAAACACTAATCCTTCACTCACAGAGGGGCGAAAGATATCAGATCTCAATCACGTTAGACAATGACCATCTGTGGAACTCGGCCGAGGACCGGTCTGGCACTATAATGACCGGTCTAATGGAGAAGGTTATTAGTTTATCACGGTACCATTCTTTTGATTCTCATTCTTCGTGGTACTGCGGAGAGGACCCGAGGTTTTTCCTGGTTGGGGGCGGGATAGTATCACATATACCCTAGGAAATGGAATGAATGAATGAGAATAATGTGAGACAAGTCTCCAAAAGTGCAGGGACCAGAGTTAGAACTGAGGAGGATCGATTGAATTCTTCTGGAAACTGAATGGAGGATAGTGGAGATGACCTGGTGTGTGCGTTCTTTTCTTGTCAGTCAGTCAGTGTCTGTCCAACAGACGGAGATGATATCTATCAGACACCAGTCAAAAGACGAGATGCACGTCAACCTCTCACAGACAGAGGACACAAGAGATGAGCGATTCAAACCCTCCTCCCCCAATTGGCTTGGTGGAAGACGGGTGGAACCATTGGGTGGATTTGCTACGCACATCCCAGACTTTGACTATCCGACGCGTGGACACTTGGGGTGAAGTGGAAGTGGAAGTGGAAGTGGACACTGGGCACTGACAGACACTGCAAATGACGAGTGAAGACGGTGAGAAATGGTCTGTCAGAGCCATGTTTCATCTCTTCTCTGCCTCATCAGTCCAGTGACTCCAGTCCGACTCCATGGTTCAGTAGTATCAGTGATGTCATTCATGAATATCTATCTATTATCTATCTATCATTATTTTATTTAATCCAACAGAACCATACTAGCATTCCCCAGACATTTCCCACCACTTAGCCACTGATGAACCCTCCCTCCCACTACTAGGTACCCTATAGAAATAGATACGGGTCAAAATCTGACGTCAGAAACACACACCACAGCCCCAACCCAAATAATCCAAAATACAAGTGGAAAGATCGTCAACCGCCATGCAGCCCCTGGTCTGTTCATCGCCCGTCAATCTTTCTCTTTGCAGACGATCTCCTGTTTTTAGCCTTTTTTTTCCCTTCTTTTTCGTTTTTTTTTCTGCATTTCCCTTCCCTTCCCCCTTTTTTTTGGTAATGTAGCTCGGTTGAGGTGTTGAATACTGGCTGTCTGGTGGTGAGTTTAAAAATAATATTTAATAGACGAATAAATAAATACACTACTATGTACTCACCATCTAGTCATCTACACGATATGACTTCTGTAAGACACACTCCGTCAGACAAAATTGAAAACAGAGCACGATCGGTGAATCTCAACCATGAAGTCATCCAACAGATCGACTCAGCGTCTACCCCCATCCGGAAGCCAGCCCCATCCCCAGCCTTCCCCTCCGTCGCTCTGGATACCAGGATAGAGATACATACATAGATCGCCATGAGGCTGGCTGCCGTTGGGCGGAAAGTCTAATTATACATACAGTACAGCCTTGCAACGGACACGGGCGCAGCCTCGTGTCAATCTTCCTTCCATTTATGCCTTACGTCAACGCCTTGTGCTTTTGGACACTTGTTCTTGCAGTGGGCGTTGCCCTGTCTATTGAGGATTGTTTGTGTATGTATGTATGTGTGTATTACTTACATTATTGGCTCTTCGTCAACGCATGTCTGTTGCCCTGTTGCCCCGTTGCCCCATTTTACCCCACGTTCGTCAGACTCCTCCGCACACATGCTTCTAGCCGCTTGATCTATGCGTTGGCCTTGTGAACCCCGCGCGTAGTCCGATGTCTCGCATTTTACATAACCCATCCTCGTCTCGTTGAGAGGTGGTGGTCATTCGATCATGATCGAGAATGCCGACGGCACGAAAAGCAAGCTGATGTGCTTCTCCAGTTGGTCATACAGTGGTGCTGACATCGTGAGGGTATGACAGTTAGGGTATGGCAATGAGCGGTCATGTGATCCGTCCCATCCCCGGCATTTATCCAGGCGATACGCCGTCCTGCGCGCGTCTTCCTTGGAATCGGGTGCAATCTAAGAATCTCGTAAACATCTAGAGGCCGTGATCTGCCCTAGTTCTTTAGGGCACGAGTGCCCTAGTCCCCTCACCGGACTTCCCTCGCAGCGGCAGTGGCAAATTCCCTATTGACATCGGTAGTCCCCGAGCCGCTCGCCGCGCGATCAAACAGACGCAACCACCACATAGGCGGATCCAGCGGGCGGCGGCCGCCATGCAGGTCAGGATAAATGTCATTGAAGTAGTACCAAATATGGCCGACGACCACACCGCAGAACTCATCCTTGGGCACGATGCCGTGCACGACCAGGCTGAAGCCCATCAACACCCAAGGGAGGTAGGGCGCCGTGAACACCAGCAAGCCCAAGAAGCTGAGGCGGGTGTCGGGGTTGCGGCGACTCCAGATGTAGACGAGGCTGGAGGACAGCCCGGTGCCCATGAAGGGCATGGACAGAATCGGCGAGATGCATAGGAGGAAGACCATGGCGTAGAAGAGCAGCCAGGAGAAGTGCGCTGGGGACCGGCCCGACGACTCCTCGAGGAGGCGCGAGTATCGTTGAAGAAAGAAGACGTGGAAGAGGAGGTCGAGGCTTAGCGGTCCGAAGTAGAGGAAGGATGTGAATAGGCGCCAGTACTGTTAAAGTTAGCTTTCTTCTTTCTTCTTTTTTCTTTTCTCTGTTTCCTTCTTTCTTTATAGATAGGTGTACACACCTGAGACTTGACATAGACCGCGCGGAAACTATAGAAAAGCTGGAACGGGGTCAAGATGTGGCACTGGACCATGACTGCGGTGGCCACCGTGGCCGCTGTCCACCATCGAGTCACTGGAGGCATCTCATAGAACCACTGCTCCAGAGGAAACTGCCCCCCTTGAGCTCCATTACCCCAGATAGCAGCCATGAGGTCACCGTTGACCAGTCGGTTTCAGATCGGAATGGGTGGGGATGCGATCAGCTCGAGTGCGCTACTCGGGGAGATACAGACTCGGAGAGTTAGGAGGAGGAATTGAGGAGGGAACAGCCGAGAGAATGAATACTGATGAGGGTTGATAAAGCAATCAAAAGAAGAAAGAACTGATGAATGAAAGGACTGATGAATGAAGCCGGAGTGAATGCATGTTTGATGATGAACTCGGTCCAGGTGGCCTTTCACGCCAGGGAGCCTGAGGCAGAGCTACCTATCTCAGTGCCTGAGGCAGAACTAACCACTTATCATCACGTGATATGTACGCGTTCGCGTCACGCGTTTGAAGGTGGATAAATGGATAAAAAATGGATTCATCATCAATGAATGGATAAATGGGGGGGCTGGGAATGAAGCTCTCCACACTCCACTTTAGCAATTCCATTTCTCTTACCTGTGTTCCTGCTTCTTTCTTTTCCTTTCTTTTATAATTTTTTTCTGATTCTTGTTAATTTTTTATTAATATCTGTTTAGCTGTGGTGTGTCATCCGACAGCAAACCAAGCTCTCCACATTCCTACATCGGAACCGGAACAACAACCAGCTTCCTACAACCTCAAGGACTCGACAGTGCCCCCTCTCTGCAACCATTGCATGGAAGACACTCCTCCTGGGATATATCCGTGATCACCCTACCCTATTAAACACCCCCACTTCACAACCATGCCTCCGAAGACCGGCAAAGGGCGCAAGGTCACCACCGCCCCCTCAACCAAAGCCGCAGCAGCAGCAGGAGACGACGCCGCCGGTCCCTCGAAGAAAGCCCCCACAACCACATCCCCGACTGCCCGACGGGGGCGCAAGTCAACCGGAGGAGTAACCAAGGGGGGGAAGACACCAGCCAAGCGGGTATCCGACGTTCAACGTAAGTTGATTCTTCCCCTCATCCCTCGACGAACATAACCCCACCACCAACCGGAGTAAAACCACCTCCGAAAGGAGCAATGAAAAAAAAGAAGAAAACTAATAAAAACTCCAGCCGGAGACCCCACCCCCAAAGGCCGCCGCCACCGCTACAAGCCCGGCACCGTCGCGCTCAAAGAAATCCGCAAATACCAACGCTCCTTCGACCTCCTCATCAGCAAGTTGCCCTTTGCGCGCCTCGTGCGCGAAGTCGCCATGGACATGCTCCCCGCCGAGATGGCCCACGAGCTGCGCTGGCAGTCGCATGCCATCCAGGCTTTGCAGGAAGCCGCCGAGGCTTTCCTCGTGCATCTGTTTGAGGATACGAATCTTTGCGCGATCCATGCTAAGCGCGTTACGATTATGCAGAAGGATATTCAGCTGGCGAGGAGGATTAGGGGGGCTTGGGCGGGGTTGGGTTGATCCCTGTTCCGTTCCTTGATTTCTGATTTCTCTTCTTTGGTGAGGACTGTGCCGAATGAGTAGGCACAAGAACAGAAGAAATGGGACAGAAAAAGAGAAAGCAAGTGGCATTGGGAACAGCGCGATCTGATCATCGCGCTCTTCTTCTATTGATTTTCACTCCTTCATTTCATCCGATAGCGTGGACTGCGGGTCATCATCCCCCCAATCTACCTCACTATCAACCGAATGGATGGATAGCAGGGTTGCAGGCGTCTGGGGAAGTCCGGAGTTTATTTCGCAGGGTTTCACTCTCTGCTGGGTTGTCTGTGCTATTTGCGTGGTGGTTTACCGTTTCTTTCTATGATCGACCCCGTCTATTATCGACCCCGTCTGCGTGCGATGGCTGTAGGGGTAGGGCACTTTGGTCGGTCTTTATGTCTTGTCTGTCTGTCTGTCTGTCTGTCTGTCTTGTCTTGTATTTCTGTATATTAGGTAGAGGAGTGATGGAGAGCTGGGGATGGAGGAAAGCTAACAGCTATGCTATACTATCGTACGGGTAAACATACAACGCGCATACTATTTGCACTGGTTGATCCTATGGACAGGCGAGAAGCTAGCTAGCTGGCTGGCCACTTCAGTTGGGGAATATAAAACAACATGTATGAATCAAATCAATCAAATCAATCAAGCAAATAAGTCATCGCTCCCGAATAGATGAATATCCTCCAGTTGCGCCGGAACCCACCCATCCTCCCACCCTCCGTACTCCACGGTTGACCCGAGTGTGGTATCATACGTAATCAAAGAAAGAAGGAAACACAGCAAACAGACAGACTAAAAAAGGAAGAAAAGAAGAAAGAAAGGAGAGGGGCAAACTAGGCAGGTCGCTTCAGCGCCGCCGGTAACCCCATCATCAGCCGATGCCCCTCTTCACGCACCCCCATAGCCTCATCATTCTTCCCCTGACGCTCTAGAGTCTCCGCTAGCATCTCGTCCGTGACACTGACCCAAAGCCGGTCGTTGGCTTTCTTTGCCATGGCTCGGCCCGCCCGCGCGCTCTTCTCGGCTTGTGCGCCGACCACGCCGCGGAAGTACTTGAAGCTCATGAAGGTCAGCGTCATGCAGGTGATCTGGCTGTTGCTGATCGCCGTCGCGGACTGGAGAGCCCGCTGGAGGAACTGTTTGGTCTGGATTGTCGACTCTGTCTGCACTGTCGCGCAGACGAGATCGTACGCGGCCTGGAGGTATCGGTTGGGCCCGTTTTGGCAGAAGCTTTCCACTGTCGCTAGCACGTTGGGGAGATGGTGGTGTGAGGGGTGGTTGGGGTCGCGGAGGATGAGGATTGTGTTTAGGGCTGCTAGGATGGCGATGTCGCGACAGGGGTCATTGCGCGCGACGCGGCTGGTGGATGGAGATAGCGCTAGTAGAGGCGACTGGAAGATGCTCAAAGCCTGGTTTAAATCACCCGTGGCTTGCGCGATCGACCCCGCGGCGTACTCCATTAGACAGCGGATCGTGTCGGGCAGACGGTCCCCGAGTTCCTGCGTTTCTTGCCGGAGCTCATTCAGGGCCTTGGAGGCTAGGTCCCAGGCGGTCCGGCCGCACGCGAGGAACACTTGCTGCAGGAGGAGGTTGCAGTACAAGGTGCGTCGCCACTCCACGCGCTTATTCGCGTTCACCACCGATTCGGGGATGTCCTGGGGTTCTCTGAGGCTTGCTGCACGACTCCGTTAGCAACAGCTCTTACATTTGTGCAAATAGGGAGCACTGACACTGCACCATTCCGATTCCTTCCTGAAGGAACTTTTCCGCCTTGCGCCCATCGTACGAGTTTTTGCAGCTGAGGGTGATGGAGCTAAGGAAGTAGCAAAGGGTGTAGAGGTCGTGGATGGGGAGCCAGTTGAAGCTCAGGAGCAAAGTGCCTTTCTGCACTTGAAGGATATCGCTGGTATCTATGGAAGACGGTCCTGCCGACTTGCCATTCAGCGGGATTGAGAACGACCCGTCAGACCGCCAATTCGGATCTTTCAATCGCCCGTCCATCAAGTCCTGCATGTCCTTCAGCTTCTGGGACGACTGGTTGACATCATACTCCAAAAGGCTGCAGCAGACATCAACCATCTGGATCAGCGTTGTCAGCTGTGGGATCTGACGGAGCTCGTCATTGAGCTGGTGCTTCCGTGCCGCCGCCACGGCGCTTTGCGCCAGTTCGATCGAATCGTGGCCCGTCCCTTGCTGCAGGTGTGCAAGGGCCTCGATCACGGCGGACATGGCCGAAACGGCTCTGTCGCCGTTGCGGTCGGCCATGTGGGAGATTTTGTGCAGCTGTTGCAAGGCCGACACCGAGTCTTGGTGAGACTGCGACGACAACGAAAGCGACACTCGCAAGAAGCGAAATGCATACTCCCAGGCGGAATGTCGGTATCTGTCTGAGTTAGGTGACAGTCTCCAAGTTGGATGGAATAAGGACATACGCTTCCACGTCTTGAATTACCCCGTCGACAGCTTTCAAAGAGGCCTTGGGGTTGGTCTTGTGCAGCATTCGCGCCAAGAGGTGCTGCATGCTGTATTTCAGGTCCAGCATGCGATTCTGCAAGACGGGAGTTCTACGTTAGCATAGGCACGTGCAAAACCCATGTTCAGATCGGACTTACTCGTTCACATAGATCAATCTGCCAGGCCACTGTCAGCAAACCAAGCTCTCGTCCGACTGTCAAGAAGGAATTATACATACACCCTTACTCAGTGCCGTCTCCGCCTGCAGATCGTTATCGGTCTCCTCGAACAAAATGCGCGCGTATCGTAATCGTACAAGAGCCTCCACCCGGGGCTGCAGTCGCCAGTTCTATCCCACTTCTGTTAGCCAACCCAAATCGGTCTCAATAACAAGAACGAGGGGCACCCACCTTCAACACAGCCTCGAGACAGCCAAGACCCGTAGAAACAAGTTTATAGTATTCCTCAACCTCCATTTCTCTCCTCGCCAAGGCAACCATGGTCCCATGTCCGTGAGCCGCATTGAGGTACTCGTCCGCCATAGCCAGCAACAGAACTTGATAATCGATCGGGGGTTTGGCCGATTTCTGCGGACCCGATTTGGGAGTTTGTTTAGGAGCCGGTTTGGCTGTCGGCTTCTTTGGGGATGGGCGCTGTTGCATCTTCTGTTGTACTTCCGGCGACGGAGCCGGGATCAACACCTGGGGGATGGGTTTCGGCGACGGCGCAGGAGGGGTAGGGGCGGCAGGTTGAGGTCGGAGCGTAGGTGGGTTGGGGACCGCTGGCGGGTATTTCGGGAACACCTGGGTTTGGTTCCCCTGGCTGACAGTAGGATCGACATAGTATGTAGTCGACGGTGTCGCAACGGAGGTGGTGATTGCTTGAGGGGGACTTGCGGGCGGCGGCGGCGGCGGCGACACCGGAGCCGGAGCCGGAGGTTGTCCTCCGAACTGAGAGCTCCCATGACTGAATGTGGAAGGTGGAAGTGACGGCACGGGCGGTTGATTAAACAGATCGGATGGGTTCACAAACTGCGGGGGTTGCGGAGGCTGCGGTGGTGGTTGAGGCTGTTGGGGCTGCGGCGGCGTCGGAACCTGTTGAGGGCTGTATGTCGGCGCGTATGTAGGATACGGAGGGATCATAACGGATGGGTAGCCCAGCGGTTTCCCATACTGCTGATACGGCGACGGACTCTGAGGCACATTGTTATTGTACAGTAGCTGCTGCGACGGGATCGTCTGCTGGGGAGGCTGTGGCAGATACTGGGGAGGATATTGGCCGTTATGAGGTGGTGGATAGCTCATCGCCCCAACAACGCCGCCGACGGTGATGGTTCAGAAGAATCGCTGCGATGTACGTTCCGGACAGGATTCTATCAAAACACAAGTTCACTTATATAACGGGACGACTGTTTCATCCAGACCAAGAGACAGAGAAGCGAGTAGAAGGAAGATCCGTTCATCGAAATGCATCTGGCGTTGACGCTCTTGCGGTCCAGATCGCGCTTGGCCGTTTCCGCCTTTCGGGACGGAGAAACCTGGGGGCGACACCGCCAATGGGGGTGGATATGGTAACTATATCTTCAATTGATCATGATTTATTACGAGGTTGATGATACGGATGGTGAGGATATAGATGGTGTGATCTGGTATCGAGGATATAGTATGGACAAACTATGGTATTTGCAAGATTTATGGACCACATGCCCAATATACAGGGAACGAAGGGAAATTAATGAAAAGAAATCGACAAATCACCCATCGTAGACATGATACAATATCCCAATACACAACGCCCGAGCCGTCCCATTTACATCATATTGATCGAAGAGTACAGTTGATTCATCGACTGGTCCTGCACCCCAGGCTCCAGAATATCCATTCCCAGTGCGGGGGGTCCGTTGAGGGCAGGATGTTCGCGAACCGTCCAAGGACACAGCTCACTGCAGTTGTCCACATCGATCATGCTCTCGGCCGGATGGATCCTCTGGGCGGCCCATTTCCCGTCGGGCATGGGTCCAGGACCTCCGAGGCCGCGCTCCGTCCAAAAGAAATACGTCCATCGGCCCGCCTCGTCATCCACGCGGCATGGCTGTTTGCGAGGGCATTTCAGGGTGGCATTGCAGGAGTTGCAGACGGAAATGCGTTTGCACGAAGCACAGTAGCTGTCATACAGTCCACAGACGGTCGTCTGGCAGACGCTGGAGAGCCACAGATCCACGGAGCGATGGGCACAGCCAAACCGAGGCGTCATATGCTCTTCTTTGCCGAGCTGCCCCGACCCCGTAGTCAGGTAGTACTCTGTTTTGACGGAAAGCTGATCGTCCGCGTCCAGCTGGGGGTAAAGCGCCACCTTCAGTTCCGTGGAGCCGTAGTTTTCGGTGCACGAATGCCAGCAAAAGCGTTCTGGGACACCGGGCCCAGTCTGGGAGGCCAGCATGGGCACCGTCTGTTGCCGTACTTTCAACAGGTCAATGAGGTCCAGCTTGTCCCGATATGTCAGCTTCTTGCACGGGCACAAGTCGACGATGCCCGTCATATTGCCCAGATTGCAGACTCGATCCTCGGATTTTCGTTTCAGCTCGCGGGAGGAGTATGCGCTTCGCGGATGCAACTTGAGGCATCGGGAGCAGGCGCGCCAGCGACTGTTCTCCAGCAGGTTGATCAACTGCCAGCGGGGGGTGACCAGACTATGGCCGTTTCGGTAGTGGTGGAAGAGGGGTGCAAAATCCCGGTTGAAATGGAGCGATTTGGACTCCAAGATTCCCCCGGCTATCAAGTTTAACCGTCGACATGTCAACGCTAGACAAGCCTCCGGCAACAAGGATAGATGTGAGATAATCTCGAGGATCAACTCCGTGGGGAGATCCAGCAAGTGACACCGTCTGGGGGCATCAGGCCCCAGACTCAGCCCATCGGGGGGCGAGCTTCGTGGCCAGCGGTTCATATTCGCAACAATCTTCAATCGCTCTCCCGCACGACGAAGGTTATCTGTCATGCCCGTTAGGGTGAACTTTGTTGGCTGAGCACGGGGGGAACGAGAGATCTGAAAGGCGCGTTTGATTCGTTTTCGGAGCGCCAAAGGCTTTAAGCTATCGCCTGGGGATTGACAAAAGCTCATGGGTGTAGTAGCAACGAGAGCCTGCTCGTTCCTAACTCCGGCCTCATAGTGTATATAGCAGGAAACCAGGATAGGGTGTGCGGATGCGCCGCGTGATGAGAAAAAGATCGCTTCAAGATAAATCAAAGAAGGATGAAAGGGGCCTAAAGCTCTTCAAGTAGTCCAGTCCCAAGTCTCTGGTCTCGCATGCAAACGGAGCACGCGGTAGGGTCACAACGGGGCCAATGTTATCAGCATTACATCCGTGACCCAGGGCCATCTTCTCTAGTTCCCTTGGGTTCAGAGGGTCAGAGGTAAAAATAAAACGAATTACGTGGAATAAAACCTCGACCCGTACCGCATCCAAAGAAAGAGGCATTTTAGACAGTGCCTGTTGGACGCAAAGGGGGTGAGTCTATGATGCCATCCAACCCAGATCTACCTTGGGTCTGTCCGCAAGCGGAACCTAGTATGACCGCATCAAGGTAGGCAGCCCCAAAGCCTAGAGGACCGGCGAGAATGTCCATGCTTTCGCTGCAGCAGGTAAGGACGCTGGAAGAAGCACGAATGATTGCAGCAAATCGACGAGAAGACAAGAAACGAGGATGTCTCCATGACCAGCGAAGAGGAAGTCAAATGACGAGATCATAGCCACTCTGTGCATCTCGTGATGTGCCACAGCTTAGTCAGGGCGATCATTGCATAATTTGGTATATACCTGAGGCATCACGCCGATAAGCCGCTTACACAAGATTTCTCTTATCGGCAGAGATCATGCCGAGGCATCGAAATAATAACCGGTTTTTCCTGCGACACAGCAGATTCAGTGTGGAAGTGGAAGAAGAATGGATAGTTGGTTGACAGACTGACCCGGATACACTTTTTTTCATTCTCGCCGTTCTTCTCTTCTCGTCTCACCTGTCTTGACCACAGCCCATGTCTCTCACCGACCTCTTGCTCGATTCATCAAACTTCTGGCCATTTGTCCTGTCCGGGTTGTTCGTGATGGGCGCGCTGTCATGGCTCCGGCCAAAGGGACGCATCTCGTTTCACAATGCAAAGGATAATGGTCTAATCCTGACCAGAAAGGCAGGCAAATCGGCCGGCAAGGAACAGGTTACACTCATCGATATTTGCCGTGCCGCCACACCGACCCATTGCGATCTCAACCCACTCCTCTTCAATGGTCATCTGCAGACGGCTTGGACCGCGGTGAAGTACGACCCGGTTCCCGTGTACTACAAGCGACGGATGTTCGAGGCGGACAGCCCGATGTATAGTGGACATTTCGCGATGGACTTTATGGTGAAGCCTTACGAAGTGCCAACCGAGGGCCCGGAGACGGATCCAGAGCGGATACACACCCAACCGTCGGGTCTCCCGGAGCGGACAAGCTTTTTCTCTCCGGATCAATTGTCTGCGCTCCCCTCGGATGATACCCGGCCGATGCTGGTCGCGCTCCACGGCTTGAGTGGCGGGTCACACGAAGTTTATCTCCGCCATGTAGTCGCGCCTCTAGTTGCCGACGGAACCTGGGAAGCGTGTGTGGTGAACTCTCGAGGCTGTGCACAGACTAAGATCTCTACCGGTGTCCTTTACAATGCGCGCGCGACTTGGGATGTTCGGCAAGCCGTGAAGTGGCTCCGGAAGACCTTCCCGAACCGGCCCCTGTTCGGCATCGGCTTCTCGCTTGGGGCCAACATCCTGACCAATGTATGTTATCCCCATGAAGCCCAGCAGCGCGTTGAACACTCTAACATACGTGCACAGTATCTGGGCGAGGAAGGTGATGCTTGTCAGTTGAAAGCGGCGGTCCTCTGTGCCAGCCCTTGGAATCTAGACGTCAGCTCGTCGAATCTGCAAAACACCGTGATGGGCCTTAATGTATACAGCAAGGTCATGGGGACGAGCATGAAGGCGCTGTTCGAACAGTGAGTGAAAGGACGGATACCCTGATGAGTCCTACCCATCTGACGCTTTTCCAAATTAGACATGTCGAAGAGATTTCCAAGAATCCTCGCATCGATGTAGAGGCCGTGAGGAGTATCACACATTTGCATGAGTTTGACCGGTAAGAAGACCTGATGGATACCTCTAATTTGGAAGAATCAGTGGTTAACTTTATTTTCTCCTGTATAGGGCTCTGCAGTGCGCAGCGTGGGGCTACCCCACCGAGGGTGCGTACTATCGCGACGCTTCATCGATCGACTCTCTGCATGGCATTAAGATCCCTTTCTTCTGCATTCAAGCGGAGGACGACCCGGTGAGTAGCTGATTGTTTGGTCGTTCAACTGTGACTTGAGCTGACCCGTCGCAGATTGCCTCGTCTAAAGCCTTCCCCTACCAGGAGGTAACTCAGACGCCGTACGGTGTCATGATGACCACGTCTTGGGGTGGGCATCTTGGATGGTTTGAACTGGGAGGAGGACGGTGGTTTGTCAAGCCGGTACGTCTGCCTTTGTCGCTAATCCGCTGTTCCCTACGTTAACCCCTCCGGACAGGTCAACAATTTCCTGAACAAAATGGCCGAGGTGGACTGGGAGACACCTCTCAAGATTCAAGACCCCGAAAAGGTCCCCTGCCACATTGCCAGCCACGAGGGTCCCAACAAGGACGCCGACGTTTCCCCCAAACCGGACTTTGCGCCAATGCGGCGCAAGCTCAATTTGCATATTGTACAGTCGGATTAAAGATCCGTTGCTTTAGATCGATAAACATACAGTTGGATCTTGTTGAGAAGCCAACGATGATGTGAAATGACTGTCATGCAGGATTTTTTGGGGAAAAGTATAGACCTAAACAACGCCAGAACCCTATCTAGATACATAGTTTCGCTATAGACAAAGATTACTTTTGATTTTTGCAATGTAGCCCGTCCCTTAAGCAAAAGAAACGCTCTTTCTCTTCCCCTTGGACTTCGAGTCCCCCTTGGACTTCGAGTCCCCCTTGGACTTCGAGTCCGAGCCGCCGGATCGTGCGCTGTTCTCACTGCCGGGCTTCTTCTTATTACGGATCGAGTCTTTCGTCGCATCCTGTTCATCGACGTTAGCATCACTTAACCACAGCAGTCAGATAAGGAGAGATGGGAGCCACCATACCAGTTTCTTCTTCTTCTCCGCTTGTCGAGCCTCGGTCTCCTTCTTCCGGAGTTCACGCAGCTCCTCCAGCTGACGAGCCTTCATCATCTTCGACTCGATCTGGCCCTCCTTCTCAGCATTGACCATGGCAATGATCGTAGCAACTCCGTCCTATATAACAACCATCCATTAGCAAGTCGCACTACCTCCCAACGAAACGACCCTTCTCGACAGGAGCATACCCGATCATCCACAAACGTCTTTCCCTTCTTCTTGCCCTTAGGCTTCACAACACCCACAGGCGTGATCGCATTTAACTCAGGGATACCCAGCTCGGCCTCGGTGTATTCTCTCTTCTTGGTCTTCTTCAACTGGCTCGGTTCCGTGCGAGCCTTCGCCTTGACTTCCTTGGGCGGCGGACGCTTGACATTCTTCTTGTTCACTTTCGACGACGACGACAGCGGCTTGCCTGACTTTTTCGAGTCGCCTCCCGAGGAGGGCTTGCCTTTGACGGACGGTTTCGGAGCCATATCTCTGATTCTTTTGACGAACAGTTATAGATCAGTTGAGATCAGGGTGAGCACGTGGCGGGGGGTGGAAATGTTTTCGACCGGGTCCCGCTTGTTGCGACTGCGAAAATCTAGCGGTTGGTGTCGCAAGTCCCAAACACAAAATCTCTGCCTTGAAATCTGACAGAACTATCTCTGAAATGGTGAAATATGCAATTAAAAGTGATCACGAAAAACCAAATCAACAAAAAGTGCCGGGCAAAAAAATAAAAAAAAGCTTGAAAAATGGAGGAAAAAAGATAAGCGCCAACCGCAAAGACCGAATGAGTTTTTTTCCAAAGAGGCAGGCGGTGAACCACCGTGCAGGATGCCACTCCGACCTCCACCAGCGACCGTGCCCGTTCCATTTCCCATCGTCACTCCCACCTTCTCCTCTTCCTCGCGCCCAAACCCCCCGCCGTGATAGTCGTCAATTGTGTCTGTGGTAGCAATTGACCCTGGGAATAATTCAAAATGACGATCAACCCGACCTTCCTCGCCCAGCGCACGCGCTCCTGTACGTTCCAGCCCACTCTGAGACGACCTTAGAAATTGCTGCGATCTCAATGGACGAAAACCGAGCTAACCATGCGTGCTCTCCAACAGCTGTGAACTGGTCCGATGCCCGGTCCCGTGTCCTCAAGAACTACAGAGAATGGCTCAGAGCGGTCAGTAGTCCGATTATCCACCTACTATCTCCCTGGAGCTAGGCCCCCTTCGTCCGGGTTGACCTGTCGTCTTGTTCAAATTCGATATCCGGATGGAACGCCCGGGGGAGAGGGGGGAGAAACAAGCTCTAGGGAGTGGTCAAATCGTGGAATAGAATGGTTAGACTGACTTTAAAGCCGCCGAGGGTGGTCCACTGTGCTACAGTCCCCTGAGATCCAGACCATGTACTCTCTGAACATTCCCGTCTCCGCCATCCGCACCAAGATTCGCCAGGAATTCGAGAAGCACCGCTACGTGAGCCAGCTGAAGGTGGTGGATGTGCTGCTCTTCCAGAGTCACGCCGAGTTCCAGGTTCGTAGCCCGTCAGAATCATCCAATGGATCCGTTTACTCTGGTGGAGGGATACTACCAGGCATTATGATACCTGAGCATACTCCACTCCACCTCTTTCCATTCTTATCTGGTCCGCGTTGTGCTGACTTGCTATTGTTATAGGAAACCCTCAACTTCTGGAAGCAGCTCTCGCACGTCATGAAGTACTTCCGGCCAGAGGAGGACCCGGGCGCCCGCCTACCCCCCAACTTCATCTCGGGGTTCCTGGAGGGCCGCAATTGAGTTCTGGTTTCCTTTCTGTGTTTTTCATCTTTGCATCGTTTACGTTTCTAGGGAGAGGGACGACTCTGATAGAGTGTGTTATGTATATACTGTTTAAAATAGCTAACGTCGGCTTTCGGTTTCCGTCTTGCTTCCATTTTCGTCTTACGTAGTTGCAATGGTAGGTTATGAGGTGTGGAATCGTGTGTCTTCCGTACTATGGAACTCAGATCGTATTATCAAGCACATATATAGGAAGGAGAAAATAATGAAGAAGCAAGATATATAGCTCCCCAGAGAAAAAGAGACAAATGCAGCTTTTCTATACACAACGCCAGAAACAACATCACATGTCATAAGAACAAAAAATGGGAAGGTTCAAGTGAACAAAAAAGAAGAAGAAGAGAAACAAGATAATATATCTACAAGCACATCAACATCACGAGCTCATCTTATCCGCCTCGGCAGCGTTAAACGAATCGCGCGCGGAAGTGAATTTCTCCGTAACAACGTCACATAGATCCATCAAGGACTCCAGGCCTTTCTCGAGGGCCTCGATGGCGTTGGTGGTGTCTGTATCTACTGTTAGACCTTCTTTTCTCTTCTCTTCTTTTTTTTTGGTCTTTCGGGTGGGGGGGCAAAGGTATAGCTATCTTACCGTAGGTTTGAATTCGGAGGTTCATTTTACTCTCCGAGGGGTGGGGGATAGTGTAGCCGCAGAATTCGACTTGGGGGCTGCAGTTGGTGTTAGCGTCCGTCTCTCTGTCTTTTCCCCCTCTGACTATCTGGATGTGTGTGTGTCCCGGAATACAGGCAAGACGTACTTCTTCATAATGGCATATCTTAAAGAATTACCCAACGTATGGCCCTCCCCCTCAAACTGGAACGACGCCGCGGTCTCAGTAGCACCAGGCAGCTGTATCAAACCCGGTCAGTCAAGCCCGTGACATGTGGACGAAGCAGGAAAACAAGGATAAGTTCCAAAAAGCGAAACCTCCTGGGGAAGAGGGACGGGACGAACCACAACGATGCGCTTCTCCTCCAACTCCAACTCATCTTCCTGGTCGAGCTGCTGCTCCTGATCCTGGGGAGCGGCGTCCATCATGGACTGGTCCTGGTCCTGGTCCTGGGAGTGAACGGAGCCCGGCATTGTGATCGTGTTCGGAGTCTAAACTTGTCGCACGAGGGAGAAAGTTGTTGTTACACGGTGAGGAAACGGAGTCACTCTGACGGTGCAAGGGGGACAAGCCGGTGGTGTCTACCAGCGGAGGATTATTCTGATTCGGACACCCACGGTGGATGCGACGGTGAGCGCTTGGGGTGGAGGTGGAGGCGGAGGGGAAAAGTTCGTCTTGTCTTGGTGTTGGGGTGGGGTTGAGGCGGGTTGAATCTGTTTGCACGGGGTTAGAAGATGGTTGATTTTTTTTTTATCCAAATACTGACTTTCTCTTATTGAATTGATCCCGAGAGCAATGTGTTGGATTGGAAAAGTAAAGCTATAAGATCGTCGCAAATGTTCACGCTGAGCGAGAAAAAAAAAAATCCCGAAAAACGGTTATCGATAGGAAGCTGGGCTGGGCTCACCGCCTTCGGGGATTGGCGGCGTTGTTAGGCGGTGAGTCGGATTGAGCGATACTGCTCTCATATTTACTTAGATAGGTAGGTAGGTATCTATCTCAAGTGAGGATGTGGAAGATGAAGGTATTGCTTGTACATATTACTGCCCTGCAATGTCTTTAGCGTGGAGTGTGGAAGTCAATTCCCCAGTTCAATCTGGGCAATTGTCGATCGCAAGGTGGGTTGCATATAGAGCTCAAGACATCTATGTACGGAGGAGGATGTGAGGGGGTCTCAGTCAATGCAGGATGCCTCCATGGGGTCCTTTGTGGATGAATCGCCATGGTGCGGTAGCCAGCAAGTCGTTTCTCCAGCTTCCAAGCATGACGCCAGGAACAGTCTACCTGAAGTTTTTCTGTTTCTTCACCTCCATGCGAGGTGTCGAAGCAGCAAACCAGACCGAATGGAATCGCTAGCGTCGGCAATAAACTAAACTGATTGCGATCGACCAGCATCGCATGCTGGACGCAAAGACCACCAGCAGTCAGGGCCCGACAGATCCTGGTCAAATCATTGATGCCAGTCCGTGCTGGGGATTAGCTTGCAGTCTGGACTCGGCGCACGGCAATATTGGGGATACCCAGAAGATGGGAGGCAGAATGGTGGAAATGACAATCGACGCTAGATGCTATAATTACATGCTGGACGGGTTTGATTGGGGGTGGTCGGATGGGATGGAGAAGTTGATAGTACGATCTACAAAAGTGGACGTGGACTAAGGTACAGTATACAGTACGATGCACAGGACTACGATCGAAGGTCGGACGGAGTCGATCAGAGACAGTCCACTGAGAGTCAGGTGCAGAGTACACGGTGTATCTCCATCTCCCATGACACGCTGCATTGAACGACAGAGCATCCAAAAGGAGACATGTCCCTTGATTGGGAGCTGAAGAGGAGCGAGCTGTCCGCAATCTCCCGCTGATGAAAAACATGGCAGCCATACATTGCCACCGATTGACAGTTTGCTGGAGCATCCTTTCTTTTCTTTTCTTTTCTTTTTTTTTTTTTTTTTTTTTCCATCTGATTGCTGTGAGAAACAAAAAAAAAAAGGCACAAAATCCCCCGACAACTGGAGGACCACCACTCAAGCCAATCAACAAGAACCCTGTCCGGAGCAGGGGGAGAAAGGACCCACAAACTAGTGGTTCGTTCCAGCAGGATCCTCCGACTCCTCGTTTCCCTGATTCTAATTTGCAAGGTCCACGGGTCCACCCGGACAAGGACAATCAGAAATTCATGGATGACACTCGACATGAGACTCGAACCTTGGACCTTGACCCAGGGTGACTTGACCTGACCCAGGAGGGCCCGGACGGGGGGCGGAAATTGTACTAGGTCTCCGCGGTGAATCTTTGTTGTCCCCCTACTCCACCTGTGCTAAGAATAAGTTGTGGTAATCAATCTGATCTCTGGGTCAGGCATCTCCAGAATCTTTTTGGAGCAGATGGTTCCATGGTTGGAGCGGACGTGGAGAAACGGTGGTTTGTTCTATAATAAGTGAGGGGGGAATCTTTCATCTCTTCTCTCCAGATGAAGATGATGAAGACTCGTGCTGAGTCGCGTGGGAAACCTTAATGAAACGCTGAACAACATCAGTCTTGTCAGTCCTCACTCAGCAATTGAAGAAACAGGAAGAAAGGTCAAGAGAATGGAAACAGACCATGTCTCAGCCTCTCAGACCCGTGCCAATCAATGGACCCGCGGCTGGTCAGGAGTTGATGCCGTCTCATGTTGGGTTTCATTTCTGGCACTAACGCGACTAGTATCTAATAGATTGATGATTTGATCTGGTTCGACGGGGGGATCCACTTGGTTTCTGGTCTGGTCACACTGGGGACGTGTCAAGTCTATTAATTCTTCTTTCTTTATATATACGGACTGAGTATTCAACATCTATCTACCAATCTACCTATCTATCTGTCTCTCGATATTCAAATCTATCTATATACATCTATCTATATCTTCTTATATAGATGTAGATAGACAGATAGATAGATCTGACAGGGAAAGATATAAAGATAGCAAACGTCAAACGATCAAGAAGAATCCCCAAACTGTGATGATCACACTTAGCCGCCCACTGCAAACCGCTCCGACCACTCGCCTTCCTCTCTCCGACCAACAACTTCCTGGCATTTGTGCCACCTCTCTCTCTCCCCTGTCGGCCTGTCTTTTCTTTGTTGTGCGCTTGATTTAGACCTCACTCGTCCCTCCTTGGTCTCGATCTTTCTTTTTTTTTTTTTTTTTTCCCTTTCTTCCTTTCTTTCTTTTTGGACTTTTCTAGCCGCTGGTGGTTCGTCACGGTCTTGAAGCTCACCGTCCACCTCGCCCCTCCTTCTCCTAATCGGACCTCCTCCTCCACCCCCTCTCTCTCTTCCCCCCTCCCCCATAACCGCTCCGCCGAGCTTGGGAATTCAATCCACTTTCGACTGGATTTCGGTGTGATCGGCCGATGCTCGTCGCAAATTGAGCGCCTGTCACTGAGAAGCTTGTTTGGGCGTCTATTGATTCCGCTCCACAAAACAATCGGTTGGAACGCTGGTGCGGCCACCGGAGACTCCCAATCTGGTGGCTCCGTGAGAAGAGAAAAGAAGAAAAAGAAAAAGAAAACCGGTGGAAATCAATATAATCCAGTCGTCCAGGCACCGGTCGGTGTTTTTCGTCCTCTGTCAGGTTCTGAATTTCCATTACACGGCCCCCAACCCCCGACTCTCAACCCGAACGAAAACCATCCTCGCTCTCAACGCCGTCGGCACAACGTTGGTGGACGACTCCACCGTCTTCATATCTTGATACCCCCCTTCATCGTCATGTCCACAGCTGTTGCGCCTGCGACGGCTGCCCCGTTATCCTCGCCGCATATGACCCGTGATCCGAGTCCGAGGACGTGCCCAACGCTGGCACCGACGATGACCACCACGCCGCCCCGACCGTCTGGCGGTTCGCACGACGGTTCATCGACGAAGAGTTCGCCCACGGGGAAGAACCAAAGCTCGCCGTCGTAAGTACTGAAGATTCGTTCCCCCCATTTCCGGGTGCCGAAGCTAACGTCTGTCTCGTCCGCTAGGTTGCAGAATGGTAGCCATGGCCCCAAGGTCTTCGTCAAGAAAGAACCCCCCTCCTCGCCCGCCATCCAGTCACAAAACTCCCGTCCGCGTCCCCGCCGTTTAGATCTCTCCACCAGCCTTCCCAATTCCGATCGGCTGTCCGCTCGTGCCCCCGGAGGCCCCATGACCGCCCGAGAAGGCGTCAATATGCATCAAGTGGGCATCGCTTGCCTGTCTCCCGGGTTCCAAACCCATGATCCCATCATGCGAGAGCAGTTGCAGCGGAGCCTGTCCGTCCGGGATCAGCAGCGCTCTATCATCGAGTCACGCCTGCAGCGGTCGGCCAAGGATGATGGGTCCGAGGGCTTCGCACACGTGCTCGGCCCGCCCAAGACGGCCTCCAAGAAACGCCCGCCGGGCTTGTCGATTGTGCCCCCCTCGGCCGCCCAGTTCGCCAGTGAGCGTGTCATTCAATCCGCCCCGTTGAACCAGACCTTCACCGGCCGACACCAGGCCCAGCCGTTGACGCGCCACGTCGTCAACCAGAGCCCGACCCTGGCCTCCACCTCCCACATCCATCATGTCCCCGCCACCCAGACGAACAACCGCCTGCCCCCGCTCGCCGATGTCTTTGGATCGGAGACCCTGGGTGCGCGGGACCGGGAGGTAACCCGGGCGCCGTATTACCCCTCCACCTCCGCCTCCAACTCCTCCGACCCGAAATCCTTGGCCGCGTTGCCCTCCCCTCGGATACCCAGCACGGGGGTCCCCCAGCCCCCCTCCCACCGGCCGCGCGAGTACCGTTCGGCCGAAGAGGCCGTCCAGGAACTCTCGGGGGGGCGGGAGGATCTGCTGCCGCGCATGGTCCACTACGGGGGGCATCAACCTCCGACCCCGCCCTCCCCGCGCCTGGGCAAGTCGGCTCCGACGCACCCGGAGGCGTCCATGGGGACGCATCCGTCTGCCCCCGCTCCGCACCCGATGCTGTTTGCCCACGAGGGAACCTCGCGTCGTCGCCCCCGTAGCGAATACGAGCAGGACAACGGAAGCCCCCCGCTGGGCCACGGCCCGGAGCTCCATCGAACGAACCCCGCCCTGGGGCCGCCCCCGAGCGCTTCGTACGGACCCTTTGGAGCCGGCCGCGATTCTCCCGAGACGCAGCGGAAGAAGAAGGAAGAGTTCCTGGGCCTATGCTCCCGTGCATGGGATCTCTTTCATTCCTAGACGCAGTCTCTCAGTGTGCCGGCCGCAAAAACTACCCCATCATACGTTGACAGACATTGGGGCGTGACCAATGTCCTTTACTGGAGTCTGATATTCGCACCGATGGTCCATATCTCTCATATTGGGTGGAATTACTCCCGACGTGGAGGGGGTCAATCATCCGTCGCTTGACGGGAGGGTAATGGTCACCTTGCCCAATGACCGGAGTGACCAACCATCGGGGATTGATGAATATGCAATTACATTTGCGTATATGAAGAGCATGAACAAGTCTACATCTATGGATTTTCTTTGAGTTTTCGTTTGATTTCTGTTGCTTCACTTCTCTACCCCGTGCAGGGTCAAGGGCTAATGCTCTATTCTTATCTTCTTTGTCCCTGTTTTCATCTTTGTCCGCCTCGATCTTCCAGGCGTTCAGCTCATGCCATTTACTACCTTGTCTGAGGACATGTTATGTTGAGACCCATGTTGACTTGATGTTGTTGATGTTTTCTTGCTTTTGAGTCCCTCCTTACTATCTTTTCCTTCTCTCTACTTCTTGCCTCTTTTTTTCACTCTTCTTCTCTTCTCTTCTCTTCTCTTCTTTTTCGTCTTTTTGTTTCTCTTTTATTGGCGATTTGTTTGTTGATTCCCGGTTGCGATACCAATGGTTTGTTGATTTTTACTCGGTTTTCTCTTTCTCTTTTTCTTTTTGGACATACCGTCACCATTCGATGAAGTCTGGTTTGCTTGCCTAATATTTGAACATTTGGAGCTGCGCTATCTCGATACCTAATGTGAAAGTGGCTTGGCCTAGAGTCTTACATGATGGTTCAACACTATTTGATATGTAGATTCTGGTATTTGTTGATCGTAGATATAGACAGATATCTTAAGGGTAAATAAAAGCGATACCTCAATGGTAAATAAAAGCAATAGCGTTCAAAAGACAACACAGGCTCAAACTAATCCATACGTCGCCGTTTCCTAGGCTCCTCAGCACCACCATCATCCAACCCCCTCCGATCCATCGGCATCTGCTTCCTCTCCTTAGAGGCGACCTTCTTGCGTCTGCGCTCCAACGCCTTCGTCCTCTCCTTCGAGTTCATGTTATCATACTTCTTAAGCAAGACCTGCTTCTTCATCTCCGAATTCTTCAAGAAGTAAGGGTTACTCTTCTTGCCCTCACGGATAAGCTGCTTCTCGCGCTTCTTATGCTCAGCAACCACATCCTTCTCGCGTCGGCGATTCGCAATCGCACGCTCCCGATCCGCCGCGGACCGAATACTCCGCTGCAGGGCCTCCTTCTCCGCCGGATTCTTCGTCCGCCGGAGCTTCTCCTTCATCTCCTTCAGCTCCGCAGAGCGGTACTCGTCTAGGAATGCGTACGCCTTGAGCGCAGCCTCGGGGTTATGCTGCCCGCCGCCCTGGCTGAGAACGGTGGGGTCAAAGCGCGGGTCGCGCGATTTTTGGATAGCGGGCGGCTCGACGACGGTGCGCTTGCGGGAGACGGCGCGCTTGGAGGTCTGCACTGCGGGGGCGTGTTTCGAGGAGCGGGAGAGCTGCTTCTTCTCCGAGTCATATTTGCCTTTTGATGACGAGGACGATGAAGCGGTGCGTTTCTGCTCGCGCGCTTCGCGGATGCGCGCCCGGATGTCGTCTAGCGGGGAGTCTTCACTTTTACCTGCTTCTGCGGTCTGCTTGGTGCGTTTGCTTTTGGGGCCCAGGGAGGCTTGGGCTTTGGCTAGGGCGCCGAATGAGATGCTGTTGAGGGAGGACTGGAAATCGTCTGCTTCTTTGGGGGGGGAGGAGTCGCCTTCGGAGGCATCGTCGGATTCCTCGTCTTCTTCGCCTAGATCTGACTCCATGTCTGATGCTGAGGGTGCATTGTCGGAGTTGTCGGAGTCGTCTGAGTCTGATCCATTGGCGCTGTTTTCGCTGCCTGAGCCTTCGGAATAAACCTCTTCGTCATCGTCCGGCCGCGCTTGCATGCGCCGGTTGAGTAGATCTGAAATTGCCATGCCGATTGGATTTCCCCAGTGTATCCAGTGGAGGGGGGGGGAAGAATAAATCAGGTAGTTGAGACTTTCAACTAAAAATGAGAAAAAAGAAAACCGAAACGGACGATTTCTGCCCGGTCAAAAGGGCGGTGTCAAAGGCGGTCAATCCGTGATTGGCTGATAACCGTTTTGTCGCGAATTTATTTGGATCTTTTTCGCCATCGTCGCAAATCGTCTTCTTGCTTCTTCCCATTTTCTCGCGATATCTCCCTGCTGGGTCGGATCGATGGTCTCATCCTTTCTATGCGGACTGTAATGTCATGGGGCCATCGCCCTAGTTCGGTCTGTCGCTTTCCTCTACTCTCGTTCACGAGATCGTCGTCTCCCCGTTGGACTCCGCGGGGTGATTTCTACAAGGTATTTAGTGGATCCATCTGTGTCTTTAAGTGTTAGTTTCACAGGTTGGATTCTGATCGCTTCGCGCAGCTTTTATCCGAACCATTCGTTTCGACTCCCGTAAACGTCTTTCGTTTCTCACACTCCTCCATGACGAGGAAGAAGCGTCGCACCGGTCCCCCCCAGCCGGGGGGCCAGCCCCAGAATATCACAAATGGGGGCAAGAGTGGCGGTGACAACGCAGCGCAGAACAACTCTCAGACCCCCGATGGCGCATGGCGACCATACCAAACGCGCTGGACCTCAGGTTCTCGTCAACAATCAGACAAGGCCGCCCCGAGGAACCCCAACAAGAAACGCAATATGGGCGCGATGCCCGGGGGCTTGGACGCAGCGGCACAGTCCTCTGTATCGAACGTGGGAGGGTCGCAGGGACCGGCTTCGATGCCGCAGTCGTTTGTCCCGGCCTACGATCCGAGCACGTCGTCCAATCAAGGCGCCTTTATGGGATTCCCGGATATGAACGCCTTTCCCATGTTCCCCATGTTGCCCAACATGATGGACCCATCATTGGTGGATTTCCAAGGACAGTTTCAGTCGCAGGGTATGCCAGGACCGCAACCGTTACAAAATCAGCTCCCTGCTGGCCAACAAGCACCCGGCGCAGCCAACATGCCGCAGTGGAGTGACTACAGCAATCCTGCGAACTTTCTACCATTCCCGCCGCCGCCGCCCTTCTTGAACATGACACCCACACCGGCCATGTGGAACACACCGTCCCCCTTCCACATGGACCCCACGGCCTTTGCAGCAGCTGGTCCTGCAGCAGCCAGTACCCCAGGAGGGTTGGGACGCAAATCCGCCAACGCGCAGCGAAGACGATCGCACTCCCCTGTATCCCCTCCATCAGCCACAGAGGCATACCTCGCCCAGTCTGCTCTCCCCCCTCAAAAGAGCAAAGCTCGCTTCCGGCCCCTCCTCGTCATCCTCGACCTAAACGGGACCCTCATCTGCCGAAAACACCGCCGAATGCCCCCCAATTTCGCCAGCAGAGCGGGTCTAGAGAACTTCCTCGAAACCCTAATGTCCAAATACAAAGTCATGATCTGGTCCAGCTCCCGCCCAGAGACGGTAAACGCAATCTGCCAACAACTCTTCCCAGGCAAGAAACGCAAGGCCCTAGTCGCCGAATGGGGCCGGGACAAATTCGGCCTCACACCCAAACAATACAGCTCCAAGCTGCAAGTCTACAAGACCCTCCAGACCGTCTGGGCCAACGAGTCCATCCAAGCCAAATATCCAGGCCGCGCCAGACGCCCCTGGAACCAGACCAACACGATCTTAATCGACGACAGCAAGCTCAAAGCCCTCAGCGAGCCCTACAACATCCTCGAGATCCCGGAATTCACCAACCCACCAGGCACCGGCGACGAAGACATCTTCCCCAAGGTGCTGGATCGCCTCGAGGCGCTGTCGAAATACGACGACGTCAGCAAAGCCCTCCGACTATGGAACTCGAAGTTGTCAGACGACGTCAAGACGGTCCTCGATCTGGGCGTCTACCCTTCCTCGGACGACCCGCTGCAGCCGCCGCCGCCTGTTACAGATGAAGACCAGCTTCGCAGCCAGCTTCGCGTCGAAAGGCGCAAGGCGCAGAAGCAGGTGAAGTTGGCACGGAAGAAGGCGAGGAGAGCCGATCGGAATACCGACGCTGCTTCGTCGGTGGCTGCTGTGGAGGGTGGGCCCGCTGCCGTCACTACTCCTGCTACTGTCATTGAGTCGGCGTCGCGAGACGATGGTGGAGTCTCTATCCCTTGTTCTGCTTCTCTTGAAGAAAATACCAGCACAGACAAAAGCAAAGACACCAGAACAGAAAATCCAGCAGCAGCAGCAGCAGTGTCCCCCATCCCCAGATCTATCTCCCAAACCACGACCACCACCACGGCCACCACTCCTCCTTCAACGAACACCACAACCACCACAACCAGCTCACCACCCCACAACACGCGCTCGTCCTCCCCAGCCCCATCTACCAAATCCGACAATTACCTTCTAGATCGACTAGAGGAGTCGCTGAATGTTTAGATTAGAGCACATTGACTTTGCTGCTTCTTCCTTAAACGGTTGTTGACATTGCGCTTGCCTGGCATACTACCACTACTACCTACTTTGTTCTGTACATATGGTATGGGCATGGATGGGATGGGTCAAATTATGGTTTTCTTTTTGTTTGATCCCCCGTCTTTGCCTAGAACGACGGTACACGCTTTACAGTCATTCCGCATTGAATGATAAATGGTGTTAACTTTCGATTCATTCCATTTGTTTTTATTTTATTTTATTTTATTTTTGTTTCTTGTGGCGGACAGGTTTGATTGGTTGCGTTCTTGCTGTTGTCGCTTTCATTTGTCATTCTATGGGTGGATGATGTGTTTCCTGTATCATGATATACCCAGGTTTTTACTAGGACGACTGAGTCCATCCATCCAATTCACTTTCACAAATGTATCAAATCAAGTGCGGGTGTAGGCTCTGAGCTGTGCTATTCTTTTTTTTTTTATAGAGGCAGGTGTGGTATCGCGTTAGTCGTCCAAAGACTGGCGACAGATGATTATAATTGGGTATCTATTATCTACTAAGTTGATATGACAACTACCAAGGTAAAGTATTTCCCCTGAGGGGTGGCAGCAAGTGCCATTCTTCGTTGCGAATAGTTAGCTATAGCTATTATCCAGCATCTCAAATCGTAAACGTGGCATGACGAGAAGATAATTTTTGCAAGAGAAAAAAAAGGGGGGTTGACGAATGAAAACACGTAAACCGTTCCACATAAGCATAGACATTAAAAAAACCGGGGAGGGGGGGAGACCCCGCTCCGTCCATGGATTTGGAGTGGACGGGCCCGGCGAGAGGGAGGGGATCATCATCCATCAGGATGTGGTTACCATCACAACAGACATTTATTTGAAGACGTGGCCGTCAACCCAGGGGTACTCCTTGTCGTTCAGGGTGATGCTGGTGTCCCAGGCCCACATGTCTTCAACGAGCTTGCGGTCCTCATCCTTGGTGTGGTCGAGCTTCACGAAGTCGTAGCTCTCCCAGTCGGGAGCGACGTCGAAAGCCGGGAGGGCCTCCTGGCCGCGGACCAGGAAGACACCGCGGATGGCGCAGTCGTAGTTGGTGCCGAAGACGGACTGGGCACCGAACAGGTACTTGCGCGAGGCCTCGAGACGGGCGTGGAAGCCGCCGATCAGGTTGTTGGCCATGAAGGTCAGCTTCAGCTCGTTGTCGTACTTGTAGTTGACACTCCACAGGGAGAACTCCTCGGGCTTGTAGTTGGCCCAGAACCAGGGCAGCGCGGCGGGGCGGGTGTCCTCGTTGGAGTAGCAACGCTTCCACTCATCGAGAACGAAGGTGGGCTTGCCCAGGGCCTCCAGGGGGTGCTTGGCCTTCTTCTCCTCGGCGGGCTTCTCAGCGGCCGGGGCGGCAGCAGGCTTGGCCTCCTTGGGCTTCTCCTCCTTCTTGGGGGGAGTGTACTTGATGGTCTCCTCGACGAGGATGGGCTTCTCAACCACGGCCTTGAAGGCGGGCTGGTTGACAATGGTCTGGAACCACCGGGTGACGGCAGGGTTCTCGGAGCGGAACTTCTTGTCCAGAACGGTGGCGAAGGCACGGGTCAGGAGAGCCGCGGCGAAGATATCAGCCAGGGTGATACGCTCGCCAACGAGATAGGTGTTGGCAGTGAGGTGGGTGTTGAGAACACCGATGGCCTTCAGGGAAGCCTTGGCGGCATCATCAACGTTCTTCTTGTTGTAGGGGTCCTTGCCCATGAGAGGGCGGTACCAGCCACCGAGCTTGGAGAGGACCTCGGAGTTGGCATAGGACAACCAACGGAGGATGGAGGCATAGTCCTGCTTGGTCTTGCCGAGCAGGGTAGTCTTCTCATTCTGCGAGGTGACTTTGATGGTCAGCAAATTTGGCCAAAAAAAAAATTGTAAAACAAAATGTAAAATGTAACATGAAAATTCTTCCTTCTCTAGTCTGAATTACCCCGCTTTAGGGTTAATTCAGATTCGAGAAGAAAAAAAAGTGTGAATCAGAGTTTGGGTAGTCAACACTGTTGTTCTGCCAGGGATAACTTGAATAAAAAAATTTGCTCATCATTTTAAGAGGGGAATATGCAATCAAAAATAAGATAAAAAAAAAAAACCAACACTGCTATACATACCATACACAGCAATGGCAATGGCCTCGGACAGAGTGTAGCCGTTGGCACCCTCAAAAGCAGGGACCTTGCCCAGAGGGCTCAGCTTGGTGAACTCGGCCGACTTGTTGAAGGCGGCAGTCGAGTCAGCCTCGGTCTTCACCAACTCGAGATCAACATCGTTGCTCTTGGCAGCGACGAGGATCGCGATGGTGCGAGGGTTGTCCTGTTACCAACCGTCAGTTTTGACGCCTGGTTGATTATGCAGACGAGAGCCATGTGCCTCCCACAATGACCGATCGAGCCCCTCTCGATCCATCATGTAGAGACCAAAGCAAAGATAAAGAAACAAGCCCCTAGTTCAGGGAAACGAAAGGGATGGACATACGGGAAGACCGTAAAGCTTTCCAAAGGCCATTGTGAAAGAGAGAGGGGGGGGGAAGGATAGTGAAGAGAAAGAGAGATGAAGAAGAGAAGAAGAAGAAGAAGAAGAAAAAGAGCAAAAAAAAATGGATCGAGGGGTTGGAGGAAATTTGTGCGAATCAGCGTTGGCGCCGCTTCGGGACCCCGGAGCCGTGTTTGTCCGCGCACGTGACCGTACGTCGAAAAACCTCAGGATCGCCGAGCTCCATCCAGCCATCCAGCCCGGTCTGGCATTCTATCCCACCCGTTTTGCTGCCCAGTCTTTCTCGTTCTTTCTCTGGCAATCATGGCGTGGCAGAGCCCCAATTGCGTCTTGCAGGCCATGCAATCCGTCCGCCGGAGTGCTGCCCCATGGCGGTCGTCCCTACTGCAACCCTCCAAAACGCCCACATGCCCCATCACCCGGAACGCCGTCCCGAGCCTCTCCCAGCAGCAGCGCACATACGCGACCGAAGTGCAAGCGGCCCCGGAGATCGACTTCTCGGCCTTCCATGCCCTGCCGGCACGGATCGTGCCCCGATCTCGGTCCTACTTCTCCGGCAGCCCCAAGTTCATCGACAACATCCTGGGCCTGGAGCGACTGCTCGCGCAAAACTCCGCACTGCCGACGGTGCCCGCGAACGAAGCGCCGCGCAAGGCCTGGCTGAAGCTGGCCCAGTTCCGCGACTACGTGGGCGAGCCCGTCGCCACGAAGAAGTACAAGAACATGCTCAAGCTCCTGCAGCGGCTAAACCGCATCGACCCCGCGGTGATCCCCGCGGAGGTGACGGCCATGCTGACGGAGTTCCTCCGTCCCGGTAACCCGTACAGTTTCCAGCCGGCGCCGCCGACGGTGGATGAGATGGGACGGGCGCGCGGGCGGGGGAAGCGGAAGGAGTCGTCGGCTGTTGCGACGGTGGTGGAGGGCGAAGGGGAGGTGATGGTGAACGGGAAGACGCTGGCGGAGGCGTTCCCGCGGATCCACGACCGCGAGAGTGCGTCGTGGGCGCTGCGGAGTTCGTCCCGGCTGGATAAGTACAATGTGTGGGCGACGGTGCGCGGTGGGGGGACGACGGGGCAGGCGGAAGCCGTCGCGCTGGCGGTCGGGCGGGCCTTGATGGTGCATGAGCCGGGTCTGAAGCCGATTCTCCGGAAGGGTATGTATTCTTTCCTTTGGTCTTCCTCGGTAGGGTTGAAAGTGGGACTTTTGCTAACAGCTATTCTACAGCCGGCGTTATCACGGTGGATGCACGACGTGTGGAAAGAAAGAAGCCTGGTCATCTCAAGGCGCGCAAGATGCCCACCTGGGTCAAGCGGTGAGGGGATATTTGGGCTCCTTTCTTTCTATGTACTTTTCCTTTTGGGTATTTCCTAGTTCTACATTCTGCGAGCTGTACTATTATCATTCCTCCTATCTACCTACATAACCTATCATGTTCAAGTATGTCCCGTATAGTAAGCAGCATCACACAGTGTCAGACGTTTCAAGACACGAAGAGAAACCTTGAAAAACCTAGAGACAGAAGGAGAAACCAACACGTGCGTCCATAACTACAGCAGTCCATACCCATAATATAGCCCATCCTTATCAACCATGTACTACTATTCAATAGCGACCTGCTGTCCAACGCCAACCCCTGAACCAAACTATTGAAGCCGAAATATTCAAGCGCAGGCCGGGAACTTTGGTACGACCAACACGTGTTGTCTATGATTATTGGGTGGGCACGTCTACATCCTTTTGACATGGACGGGAGGATTCCAGGCTTTTTCTTTTTCCTTTCTATTATTTTTTCTTTCCTTTCATTTATCTAATTGTTATTTTTATTATTATGTTGGAATCTTTCAGGTGGTTTGTCCTACGGAAGACGGGGGAAATCCGTCAGGCGGAGGGGAGGTCTGCTTTGGGGGTGGATTGTTGTACAGGACTAGGAGTAATGATATAATATGATATACCTGGTATGTGGTGAAAATACACATATAGGAAGAAAGAAGAATGTAGGTGATGGTTGGTCTAGGTCTATCCGAGTATACACCGTTCATGCACCTGAGAAAAGATCTAGAGGAGTCATGGAAGAAGAAGCTGTCATCTCCACTGGAATATAACTGCATGCAAAGAGACCATGAGGCGGGACTGCGGTGAACCCTGCCATTTGGTACGAACCCCGTTACACGGATTTATTTATTTATTGATATATATATATAAATATGTAGAAATATATTATTTGATGATTTTCAAGGCTGAACAGAGGCGTAGAATTTCCGGACGTTAGATACTCATGGTGAATAATATAGATCTTCGTAGGACTGATGACCATATGAATGCCTGATGACGGGGATCCGAGAATGGCAAGAAATCAGTCATGTCATCAGTTCAATTGGCAATTTTCCTGCTGGCTCAGTAGTCCTTGAGTTGTCCATTTCATGCATCGATCTGGATGTCAACCATGCGTGGATAAGCTGCAAGGGTGAGGAATTGAGGAGGATCATGTCAGACAGGAGATCGGATTTCCTTCATCCCCGATGACACTATGATTATTTCAATTATCGGATATGATTTAGATTACCTATTAGATAATTATATACTCAGATGACGCCTCACTTTGAGAAGGATAGGTGGATTCCAAATTCCGATCAGAGGGACTCACTAGTCAATCCACTAAGTTGCGCACGACCCTCTGGCTTTCCAGGACTTTGGTTCTACTTTATCTACGGAGCATTGTCTGTAGGGTTATGTTCTTGGTATTTGAGATGATTGTATCATATATCGATCTGTTATATCGTATTGGACATGGTTATATTTGTTATACTACATCAATAAATCTGTATCTTTATCTATCCCTGAGTATCCCGGTTGTATTGATTGATATAGTACCAACCTGTCGGAACCCAAGGGAGCGGTAACTTCCTTCCGTCTAGTTTGTTCAGCTGATCCTTCGTATAGGATCATATATTATATTATATTGTACAGAAGATCCCTATATCTATATTTTTGCATGATACCTACCACACCTATATTCATATTTTTGCATGATACATAATACACCTATACCTATACCTATCTACCTATACAGTTATATCAACCTCGATATATATAGATGAAACCAGTCAAACATAGAAAGAATCATTGATTGCTTGCTGCTTCTTTATGAGAACATCTCGAACTCCACCTGCAGGAGAACTCCACCCATGCAACTATTGATTGCATTCATCGTCATCCTCTCTCCTTTCTTTTCTTCTTCTTCTCTTTTCTTTTTCTCCCTCCTCTTTTTACTGATTTTTATTCCTTTTGATTCCCCACTCCGTAGTCTCCACATCAATCCCAGATCAATCCCAGATCGAGATCCCCAACCCGATCATTCTCATCATGATCCGACGAACTCCCCGTTTCATTGTCTCCAGTCATCCGCCATGATTCCTTTCTTTCCGGATTCGATCATCTTCCTTCAGCCCCCGATGGTCGGTCCAGGGGGGTTCCCTCCGTGGCGTGCCTGATTGCTGCTACGTATAAGTAATCCATCAATCCCATTCAGATGTCTTGTTTCAATTGTATTCACTTCTCTCTTCACTTCTCTCTTCTCTTCTCATAGTCTCTCTCCTTCCTCGACTAGCTTGGTACCATCTTTGCTCCCCTACTTCTCTATCCTAGAACCCCTTCACTCTCCAAACTGCAACAACCTTGTATGAACACTCATACATCTACACTGCACACATCTGAAACATCCATTCTCACTCGTCGTCCCACGCTGATCTTCGCCTCCACCCACTCACATTAACCCTCATCCTTCATCGCCCAAGTGACGTATCCCGCGGCAAGATCCTTCTGATCTCTCCTCTCCGCGTTGATAACTCAAACCTGAACCCCACTCCCTCACAACTGACCTCCTCCGCACTTATCGAGGTACATGCTCTTTCCCCCTCCTCCTTCCCCACAATATTCCCTTCCGTATGATTTGACTATAATAAATCCGTCGCATGCTGACAGTCCGAGCGTAGAGATCGCGTGGCACCCATCTGCCGTCCGGCATTACTGAACTCGTGGCACCAGTGCATGCTTCATCTGCCCCCATCCGTGGCTGGTTTCTCAATCCCTTCCAGAACCATCCCTCTGAGAAGAAGAAAAATCACAAATCAAACCCGGTATAATTCATATCAACTTCCTCCATCTGGTGGTTTCTTGAGATCGTTCTTTCTCGTGAGATATATACTATATATCTAGACGAATAAGGAGGGGACGAAAAAGGGAGGAAAGAAAGCAAGAAATATAATCAAGATTCTGACCTCCGTACGACGGTCCCTTCGCCCAAGCTGGAATCGTACGCAAGTCCGCCGCTGTCGCCCCCAGCGCTTTGGTCCCCTGACCTCGATCCATCGTGTAGAGGCATCTTGTGGGACCCGCTGAGTGGTATGGATGGCGACACCCGACGCATGAAACACAATGACGATTCCCGTTTCCCGGCCAGGTCGGCCATGTCCCGTCGCGGCCGTTCTGGCCATCCGGCCAGTGCGGCGCACTCTGAGCGCTTCCGACAGTCCGTCTTGCAACCCGCACGTGGGGACCCTGCATCGCTGTCACAAGCCGCCGCCCGGCCTCGAATGTCCACCTACATGGACTACGAATACACAGACGGCGCCTTCCCGGGGCCGTCCTTGCAAGGGGGAGGGGACCTGCCACAGTTTCCGCCCGCTCTGCGCGACCCCCAGCGCCAGCGCCAGCCCCAGCACCCCCAGCAACTGTCCTTCGCCCCTTACGAGCCCGACATGGTCTACAACATACCCCAACAGGGCTCCGCACAGGGGCCGTACGAGGTCGTGCCACCCTACCAAGGACGGCCGTCTGCAGCCATGGACGACCTGACCGGCCAATTTGGCGTTCCACAATACTTCCCTTCTAATGAACCGACCGGCCCCGGGGTGCCTCCCGGCGTTGGATCCCCGTACCTCACCTCGCCGCTCCATACTTCTTATAACCCGTCTGGTCCCATTGGCCGCTCGACTGCATCCCAACCCTTTCCCACCACCATGGCGGAGATCAACCCCATGGCCAGCGGAGGCTCCTCATCCACCTCGCAACCGCCACCGCCCCCACTCCAACACCGCCCGCCACCATCCCAGCAACCACCGCAACCACCGCCGCAGGATGCGACGGACCCGCCGAATCTGAACGAGGCCTATGCGCAATTTCAGCAAGCATTACGAGAGACATTTGATCATACGCGCGCCGGCCGGCTGGTCGAGGCTAGTCGATCCCTGTTGGAAATTTCCGAGTGGCTAGTGACCAATGCGCCGGGACTAGGTAAGGATTTTAATTTTGTTTTCTTTTTCTTTTTCTTTTTCTTTTTTTTTTTCTTCTTTTCTTCATTGCACTGCAGCCTTGTCATAACCCTGACTACCCTTGCACGACATGCATCCTAGCGCATCCATCGCCCTGGTCATGGTGTACTAGCGCCGCCCCCTTCCAACTAGTCCTAGAGAAAGGCGCTAACTGCAATCGATGAGATCGAAATGTAGGGATCTTACGTGACGATCAGGTACTTTATGCGGATCGACTCCAGCTGTGGAATGATTTCAACATCTGCTGGCTCGCGATTTGTCAGAAGCAGAAAGACCTGATTCAGGAAATGCTGCAGTCTGGTCGCCGCCCGTCCCACGTCAGTTTGCTGAGCGGGGACACTTTGGAAAGTTTGGGCAACGAGTTGATTCAACTTTGCGACCGGATCGAATCGCATGGGCTGGTCGATTACCAGATGGGCATCTGGGAAGAGGAAATCCTTAGTGGTGAGTCTTCTCTTTTGCTATCGTTGGAGAACGATATTCCAAGTAGGGGAGAAGAGTATAGCTAACCCAACGCAGTCTTGGAACAGTGCCTCGATCTCATGGAGAACCAAACCGGAATGTTGCACACTCACACGACTACCGCCCCCGCCACAGCCGCCTGATCCCCATGACCTCCTTTTTTTCTTTTCTTTTTGAGTCTTTTTTCTTTTTCTGTTTCCAGCTCAGCTCGCTGATCCTCCTACCCGGAATGGCACCGTACGGAAGCGCCCATTGTTCCGGACACCCTCCGTACTTCTGCAGTGGGTTCGGGTTCAGGTATCGGGCTAACTTAGTCCCTGTTTGCCCAAGACTATTGATCGAATGATGGTCCTCACCGGATCACTCGATTAATCTTCCTCCCCCCCGGTCCCCACTCTGTTTTCCAAATTCTGCCCACAATCTGCTTGCTCCGATCTCTCCACTCCTGCAAGGGCATCTATCAGGATCTAGCTTCCGAGCCCGAGCGCAGGATTGGTCCCGGGACGATGGTCCGTGCTAAACCGGCTCCACCCGTCCGCTGATCGATGCAACCAAACAGCCCCAGCAGTCCCAAAACAACCCCCTCCCAAGAAAGAAAAAAGAAAACCACAAACAATATCACGTCTCCACGTGTCTCAGATCGTCATTTTCCTCATCTCAGCTCATAGATGGGCGCTTTTTCTTCTTCTTCCATTTTCTTCTTTTTTTGGTCTCATTTATTTCATGTCTTTCAGCGATAGATGCCCGGAAAACGCAACCTCATGTTATGCAAAGATTTGGTTTATTTTGTTCTCTTCTTTTCCTTTTCCTTTTTCACCATTCTCGTTGGTTTTGTTTGCTTTTTTCTTGATTGTCGGAGATACCCAGGTGTATGGATGACACAATAACCCATGCGATGCATTCAATTAGGTAGTAGTACTTTACACTATTTATTACATTTCCAATAGTTTAACTTTATAAACCTTTTCAATAAGAATAAAAATAGTAGATTCGTAGATGTAGATTGGATCCATAGCAGTATCACCATAGTACGGTACCTCGTATGCAGTAGTCTACGAACTTTCGACCGAGAGATAAGACGAATAAGATAGAATAAATTAGATAGAATGATAAAACAATAACACACACCCAAAAGAGAGCCACCCATACCTTGGGTAACCAATGATACAAAACATCATCGATCGATCTGCAGCTCGTGCCCAAGACTACGCTAGAGAAGAGGGGGGGGGGAGAGTGAGCGATATTCTTTCTAAGCTGTGCGTCATTGTCACCTTGCTTTATGCAGCCGGCTCTAATTCTACTTATCTATTCCAAGAGGTAGGATTTTAGTTCAACTCTTTCAGAAGAGTGAGGTATGTCTGATGTAATCGCTATGTTAGATTAGGTAGAATACTGTTGGCTTTCTTTTCTCCTGTTTATATTATCTGGTTCATTCGTAGGTGTGTTCATGTTGAAAGCTGGTATAGTCTATATATGCGCATACTCTGTTACTCCGTACTGACTCAGTGTTGTAATAGCTTTAATCAGCTCATAAACAATAAGTACTACCTATCTAATCAAACTCAGAGGCTGGAGGATATTCTTTCGAGACTTTATATTTTCCCAACTATTCGTAACCTCTTCGTAGTTCATGAACACCATAAAAATCATCAACATCATCAATATTCCCTGACTGTTCCAACAGTTTCAAAGAACCTGTCGCGATGTCTAACCGCACTATCATTCTATTATTATTCATTATCATCTCGACAGTGCCATTGTGTCCAGGAAAGGTGCGCTCCATTCTTAGCTGAAGTTGGACATTAGCGACTCTAATCAACCAAGCAGAATAGGTAGGACTCACGTCTCATTAAACCGTCTATTTTATCATCGATCTCATAAGAGCCTAACAGTGGCATTGACTCGACAAGCGCGATGGCAAGATACTCCCACGGTTTAGTATAGGTAAAGCCATGAGAAAGCCGTAGGTTTGTCAAATAGCTTGGTGTTCATGATATACCTGCGGACATCCTTGAATGTGTCTAGCGTTGGCTTTGCATCTTTCAAGTTATCACTCTGTGCAGCCTTAAGCCATCCTCCTTTGCCACCTTCAACGCTAGACAATCACACCGAGTCTCTGTGCCACATGCCAGACCCTCAGGGAATTGAATGTCCAAGAATGAGACATATTGCGAGGCTAGCACCGTAACTGACAGACGATAGCCAGGAACGTCATTTCGATAAACGAGTACTTCCTCATCATACTTCACTCCCTTAACCAGCTGCTTAGGCGTCCAATGGACCCACGTTAGGCCCGGTATTATCTGGGCCTGGGAATGAGTTCATGTATGCACTGGCTTTGGCTTTCACGGTATTGAAGAATTCGTCTTCACCGAGGGTTGTAGCTGATGAATCATGGCTGCTTATGCTTAACATGTTTATCAAGGTTTGAAGATGGCAGTGGTGTAAATTGGATCCTCTCCGCCGTCTTTCCCAATGATGTTGGGTATGGATGTTCTGCGTGTCGGGAGTTGAGTGTCGCTGTCGACGGATTGACAGCCGAAGTAGAAGAGCTAGTCAGTGCGGATCCTCGTAGCTAGCTAGGTCCTCCAGCGGAATATAATTTGTCGATTACCGTGATGAGGAACTTCAATTATTGCTTGGTGAAAGTCAGGAATGAGATAGTGCCTACTAGATATACTGCGAGAGCGAAAGATGGTTGGTTGGAGAGGATCGACGAAGACCCACTACCACCTGATCGGAACCTCAGGTATCCACCACTTGAATGGGAACGTCTGCCTATTCCCACCGCCTTACCCGACAATCAGAACCGCCAAGATCAGGCAGCGAATGAAAAAGCGAGTGATGCAAACAATACAATAACAATAGTAATAGTGATAGTAATAACCTGTCATTTTCTCTCATGTCGAACAACAGGAACAACCCCTCCAAAAAAGGGATAAAAAAAGGTAATATTCTTCCCTAGCAGAATATATCGGAGGAAGAAAAAAGAAGTGGTCCCAGTGAGGCTCGAACTCACGACTTTAGAGTTATTAGCTCTACACTCTAACCAACTGAGTTATAGGACCTTGTTGGTTGATTTGTTCTCGACTTAGAGGATTCTTGTTGGGGCTTTCTTGGGTGTGACGATAATAGCTACACCTAGGTAGTATATACTGTCTTTGTTGACTCAACCCAAGGTATGTCAATACCCAGGTTTGGTAAAAACTACTTTAATAGTAAAGAAATTCCATCTGTACTCTTACTAGAGATGCATGTAGTCTGTGAATACCACCGAGTATGTACACCCGCACTATCATCTAAAGCAAATCTCACTTAAACTACAGTAGTCGTCACTATCATATCGTAATCGGTCATATCGGCGAAAGGGACGTTGAAAAGCGCAGAACCGTAAAAAAAGAAAACATAGCTTAAATTTGATCTGTGCCTCACATGGTAAGCATTCATTCACACATCTCCCGACCCATACAACAAAAGACGAAGAGAGAGGGAGGGAGAGGGGGGTAAGGACGTACTCAATGTCATGCTCAAACTGATATCAGTATTCTCCACCATATCAGTAAACTCCTCAAAGCTGATCTTGCCGTCCTGGTCCTTATCCGCCTCCATGATCGTCTTGTCGACGATCTGCTGCAGCTGGATGTCCTTCAGGTTGTTCCCGACCATCATCTTCAGCACGATGAACAGCTCGCCGTTGGAGATGAACCCGTCGCGGTCGATGTCGTACACCTTGAACGCGAAGCGCAGCTTCTCTTCCTTGTTTCCTTTGGAGCTGAATGCCGAGAGGCCCGATACGAACTCTTGGAAGTCGACGTCGCCGCCGCCGTCTTCGTCGAAGATTGCGATCATTCTACATCACACTTGTCAGCTTGCTTATCCTGTTTCCCCCCCTCTCTTTGTATTCTGTAGGATCGATCGAAAGGTAACGTACCGAGTGGCGAGCGGGTTAGACGAAACCTGAGGGAGGGAGAGGAACTCATCCCGATCGATAGTACCGGAGCTGTTCTATACGAGTGTCAATAGCGCCCTGACACCGTCAACGTTCGCATCCGCCACCCACCTTATCAAGCTTCATAAATCGTTTGCGCAGTCGGTCCACCTCATCTCTGTCGACTAGATCCCAAAAGAAGTTCAAGTCAGTGGCTGCACCCGGCACAGGCTCAGTCCAGAACTAACAGTTGGAAGCGGAGACGATGTCATCAAACAGTCGGGTGGTGCCGACCGAGCCCCTCCGTCTCCGCGCATCGAACAGAGCCGCATTGTTGGGTTCGCTGGATTGGTCCATGGTGGGGTATGATCGAGTGTTGATGCGCCGATGGATTGGGCGGGCGGAAGGTGAGAAGGTAAGGTAGCTATGGGGCGGGCGGAAAGGAGATGGATGTATGGGGCGGGCGGAAAGGTTGATGGAGGGAGTTGGGGAGGAGAGGAGAGCCGGGCGCGGAAGGGCGGTAGGCGTCGATTACGGGAGGTTAACTATGGCCCAAAGCGGAATGAATCGACAATGATGAGCCACCCCAAACAAACTAGGCCACCGGTGTTGATAAATAGATAGAAAGCGGATCCAATCAAAGGATGATTCCAAACGGTCGGAACAGCTTTAAAGTACCTAGGTATCAGGTAGATATGAGCTTGGAAGGGCGAACATGCCAACGGGAGCGATTTGATATCGGCCAGCCCCGCACTAACCGGAAACGGACAGGCAAGCGAACCCCTGAGGCCGTGCGCTGGTCCAAAACAGGCCACGCCCGGGCGGCATTGCAACGTCAACCCATCCGCCAGCGCTGTTGTGACGAGATTTCAGCCGTCATTATCACCCACCCACTCATCATTTTCCATCACGAATTTACGACTACGTGAATCTACTGGTTCTGACCTATCGTCTGATACTAATTTCGTTCCCCCTTGCCCATGGTTATTGCCCCTTTCCGTGCCCCAAAGTTCGGATGACTCGGTACGGGGGAATGGGGAGGACGCGCCCAAAAAAGCTCACCTCCAAGGCCTCGATCCCGATAGTCAGAGAGCAGGACATTGATATCATTGAGGACGAGGTCCAAAATGCCCTGCAACAGGTTGAGACCGGCGTGGAGAAGGCGGAGGAATCGGTAAGTTCCTATCCACCCCCCCCAAAAGCCTCAGGCCCATCCCTGTATCCGTCACGTGATATCATCCCGAACATCACCCCATCGTGAAAATTTCGCACCCCGGCCAGACCACCCCCAACCAACCCCTACTGATCAGCTGCTCTACAGGAATTTCATCTTCAGGCGGCCATAAATGCAGCTGCCCAGGGAAAAGTAAATGAAGCTCACATCCCGACCCCGGAGACCGTCATCAGCAATCTGCAATATGACGAACTCTACCCCCCGACTTTTTCGCAGCCTGCGACGTACATCCGCTTCTCCTCCACGGTCGAGGACTGTTGCTCCTGTCCGTACAATATGACGGAGGAGGATGATGTCTTCTTCAAGATCATGAACCAAAAGCGGGGCCCCTCCAGCCGCTGCACCGAGGACCAATTTGAAGAGGTGATGAACTTCTTCGAAGAGACGGCGCAGGCCAAGCAGCCGTTTGCGGCCGTAGATAGTCCTCCTGTGTTAAGCTTCCAGGAGATGCAAGATTCGATGGATGCCGCCGTAGAGGACAGCGTAAAGCGGTTTGCCAAGGACATATATGAGCACTGGAAGTCAAGGAGGATGAGCAATAACAACCAATCCCTGCTACCACATCTCAAGGTGAGTCATGTGTTGAAGTATGAAAGGAAAGACCGCATCATTCTGACAAATGCGCAGTTTGAAACGGGCCAAGAAACCGACGACTCAGATCCATATGTCTGCTTCCGTAGACGTGAGGTTCGTCAGATCCGCAAGACTCGGGGTCGGGATGCTCAAAGCGCCGATAAACTCCGAAGGCTTCGAAAGGAGCTGGAGGATGCTCGGAAGCTAGTCGGGCTTGTGCGCCAGCGCGAGTCGGCCAGGAAGGAGATGTTTGCGATTGAGCGGCAAGTCTTCCTGCAGCGATCCGAAGTCAAGGAGATGAAGAGGAAACTCAACATCAAGGACGACGACGAGGATCTCATCAACCAGAAGGTAAGCACCACTCGTCTCCGTATTCATTCTCAGATACTAACTCGGAAGCAGCCGAAGAAGAAGCCCACAGAGGCCCCAGCGGTGCAACGACCAGCTGCCCCGCAACTTCGTATGCCGCCCAAGGCTGGTACCCAGACTTCAGACGACTTGCAGTTGCTGGAGGATGTGCAGGCGGAGAAGGAGAACGAGATTCTGCGCGACATCAAGCAAAACATCGCAAAGCATGTCAAGTGGAACGAGGGTTACGTGGACTTCACAAGAGCACCACTGTCGCCGCCGCCTGAAAAGTCGTTCGAGGCGGCATTCCGCCCAGCGATCACAACCCAATTGCCGACACCTCCGTCGTCAGATTCATCTGAGAACATGATGGACACTTCTCCGGATGTCTTGGGTGCCATCGCATTGCGAGATAAGCTGGCCTCCCATGCCATGGACCTGGACGACGAGACTAGCAAACTCCCGTCGTTCCGAAGGCGGATTGGGCGGGGCGGCCGTTTATGGATCGACCGTCGCAACCTGGCTTCGCGCTGTAGAGTGGATATGGACCCACTGAAGGCCGATCGATTCAAGTTCGACCAGGAGGATTCCGACGAGGAAATTGAGTTCGACCGGGATCAGTATGACATTCAAATCATGCAGCACCGAGCCATCATGGCAGCCAAAGCTCGAGAACAAGCTGCAGCTGCAGCTCAAGCCCATGCGCAGGCGCAGGCGGCCCAGGCCCAAGCTCAGCGACGAGCACAAGCTGAACAGTCAGCCAACACCAATAACCAAGCTCCCACCACGGGGCCAACGATGGGGTCAAATCCTGGGCCTGGAGCCATTGCCCCAACCGCTGAGACTTGAGCTGGGCTTTCGTTTCTTCTCTCCCCTCTTTGCCTACCAAACACTTATTAATCTGCCACACCGATATGTCTTTGCATCTGACAGGCGTTTATTGCGATTTTGCCAACCCCTTGTATTTTATTTCTGCGCCATGAGTGATGCGGAAGGGTTTTTTGCCTTCTATGTCGCGTCCGGCGCCGACGTGGTGTCGTTCTTTGCTTATTTGAATGCCGGGAAGCTTTCAAAACCGGGACGAGCCGGAAAAAAAAAAGCGCAGTCTGGGAGAATGTCGCAGACGGGATCATCACCTCGTTCTTGCGATGTTAGTGTACATAGTATTTGTTTTATCAGCGCGACGGTCGATAGACTTGTATGGATAGTGAAGCGACGAGATCAGCAACGAAAAGAAAAACAAACAATATTTTAATGCGAGATAACGAGAGAAATCCACTTTTCTTGAACTTTTGTTTCTTATAAATTCGGCAATCCAATGGAGATGGACTGGTTCGAGAATCAGGTCTTCTGAATTTTGGGGTTTCTCGACTGCTCGCTATCGCCTGCTGCAGACCGCTTGGATGCAGTCGATCCCTTGCCGTCTGTAGACGAGCCCAGCAAGGAGAAAAGGCTCTGCAGGATTTCCTTCTCGCCGATGCGAACCTGCACCGCCATTTTCTGACGCCGGGATGATTCGTCCAGCGGGGAAGAGGCCTCCGATTGGATCAAGCGGGATAGAATGTCATGATCTTGTTCGATCGTTGTTCCGTACTGCGCGCTCTCCAGCTGGATGGTTTTCGCCAGAATGGCAGATTCTTCCTGGTCGAGGGATGGCTTCGGGAGCTTGTTTTTCGACTGGTGCTTTTTGAACTGATCTGACGGCAAGGTCAGGGTCTTGAGCAGCAAGATGAGCTCGACCGGCAGGATGTCTGTCAATGAATCATCCCCGGAGATTCTTGGGATAACATAGCCATCATCGAGGACCTCCATTTCCTCAAGGAATTGGAGCTAAGCATGCGTTAGTATAGAAAGGGTAGCCAATGGGCGGTATCGATAGACATACTCGAGGTTGGCTTTCAATATCAGCATTTTCAAGACCGGCTGCTTGGCAGATATGCTTCAGTGATAACTCGGCCACGTCGTAGGGGGCGTAGTTGTCCGTCACATAACCGTAGCGTCTCAGGAGATCTACCCGAGGAAGCTCGCCGTAGTCGTTGAAAATTTCATCACCTTGCTTGATGGGTTTGATGGCTTTCATGATCAACAAGCCGTCTTCTTGGAACAGGCGAGCCTGGGAGAATAATCAGGTCAGCTTGAAGTACCGGAAAGGGGAAAGATTGAATTAACAAAACCCACATTGTTCCGGTCTGCATCGGCGTTCAACATATCGGCCAGCGGGACCATGCCTTTGGACTGACCTTCCTCCTCATCGGTCATATATCCATCTTCAGCATCCTGCTCGTCTTCATCCTCCGGATTCTCGATGTCGAAGGCATACGCCATGATGATAGAACCCATAGTATGGGCGATGTTCAGGAGGGCCCGGGTGCCCGCCTCGCCATCGTACGAGGCCAGACCATCGACAGGCGGGAAGAGAGTAGGGTTTTCTCGAATTACCGGAGCAATGGTCTCCAGGATCATTTCCTCTGCGCTCTGCTTTCCAATCTTGCCCACAATTGCACTGCCCTGGAGCTCTTGGAGCTCTGCTGGGGACCAGAACATCAGGGTGTCGAAATTCTGCGGGAGCACGTTGAAATACGGTTTCCAGGCAGACTGTTCACCACGGAGGTACTCGTAGATCATGACGAGGATGAGAGAAAGCCATGGGCCGAATTCGTTGAGATCGTGGGAGAGCAGATCCTTCAGTGTGGAGGTCCGAGCCGACAGAACAGACTCGGGTGGGATGGTAAAAAGTTCTTCACCTTCGGCAATATCGGACTGAGCCACTGGATGGAAAGGAAGAATTTGTATCAGAGAATGAAAACCATGGACACGAAAGATATCGAAGAAGGTTCAGAGTTTGACGGGGTAAAATCCCTGTCTGGAGGACCACATACCAACACCTCGCCCGGCAGCTTGGAACCTCAGATCTTGCACACGAATTTTGGGGTGGATCTTTACGCCCGACCTGCCCGCGAGCCAGGTCATAAAATCATCCGTCTGCCGCTGAAAGTCCTCATGGGTTGGGGAGTGGGTTGTGGGAGACATTGTGCAATAAACGAAAAGGGTGTGGGTTTCGTCACACCAAGAAGATACTAACGGGGATACCACAGGGAAGAGGTGTGAGGGGGGGGAAGAAAAGGGGAAAGGGAAAAAAAAGAAGAGGAGTATCTCTAGCAAGAACTGCAAAATCCGAAAATTCTTTTAGAGAGAAAAAAAGACAGAAGGATGGGTGGGGAGAGGAAGAGGGAAAGACGAAGATGTGTGGGAGGGGAAAATAGCATAGTAGAGAGCAACTGCTGCTACTAACTGACTGGTGTATACACTCGGATAAACGCTGCGGCGGATTTGCCGCCTCCAAACCCAGCGGGAGCGCAACCAATCAATGGTTCGATAACGCCCGCTGATAAAGAGGGCAGAAAAAAAACACCGCCCTGTTGACCCTCATTGCCCCTCACCCTACCTACCTTCTTGTGAATGGAATACCTATCTATAATTGAATTGACTTTTCTTCCTCTATTACTATCTCTATCTACAGCACCATGATTGCCATCGGTCTAGAAGGCTCAGCCAACAAGCTTGGCGTGGGCATCATGTCGCATCCCAACGACGGCAGCACCCCGCAGGTCCTAGCCAACATCCGTCACACATATGTCTCCCCACCAGGCGAAGGGTTCCTACCCAAAGACACAGCGCGCCATCATCGGTCATGGGTCGTGAAGCTGGTGCGGAAAGCGCTCAAAGAAGCCCGCCTGTCTGTCCAAGACGTGGACTGTATCTGTTATACCAAGGGGCCCGGCATGGGAGCTCCCCTGCAGAGCGTGGCCGTCGCAGCGCGCATGTTGAGCCTACTCTGGGGCAAGGAATTAGTCGGGGTGAACCATTGTGTGGGACGTATGTAACCACCCTCCACTTCCTGTCGCATAGCGCTCGCTCGACTCACCGCTGACGCTGTTTTTTTTGTTCTATAAAGATATCGAAATGGGCAGACTAATCACCGGCTCCACCAATCCCGTCGTCCTCTACGTCTCCGGAGGCAACACCCAAGTCATCGCCTACAGCTCCCAACGGTACCGCATCTTCGGTGAAACCCTTGACATCGCCGTCGGCAACTGTCTGGACCGGTTCGCGCGCACCCTGCACATCTCCAATGACCCGGCCCCGGGGTACAACATCGAGCAGCTCGCCAAAAAAGGCACGCAGCTGGTGGAGCTGCCGTACACCGTGAAGGGCATGGATTGTTCGTTTTCGGGGATATTGGCTGCTATTGACGGCCTGGCGGCGACGTATGGTTTGGGCGGGAAGGAGGAAGACATTGCCGGGGATGCAGCGGAAGCGACGGCGGGGAAGACTGGGAATGGGAATAGCAACGGCGGTATCACAGCCAAACCCACCCGCGCAGACTTGTGCTTCTCTCTCCAGGAGACGATCTTCTCGATGCTAGTGGAGACGACGGAGCGCGCGATGGCGCACGTCGGCTCGACGGAGGTGCTGATTGTGGGTGGTGTGGGCTGTAATGAGCGGCTGCAGGAGATGATGGGGATCATGGCTCGGGACCGGGGCGGGAGTGTCCATGCGACGGATGAGCGGTTCTGCATCGACAATGGGATTATGATTGCGCAGGCGGGCCTCTTGGCTTACAAGACGGGGTTCCGGACGCCGCTGAAGGAGTCTACTTGTACGCAGCGGTTCCGGACGGATGATGTTTTTGTCAAGTGGCGCGATTGATTGGTTGGTTGGTTGGTTGATGATTGATTAATTGATTGAGCGTGTGGTGACATACCCATTGAACGTTAGATTTGCTTATTGTTCACATTATTTGCGTCTATGAGTACCTCATGAGAACTGTATCTGGATGCTACGCCGTCGATTGGGCTGATGTATCCCGGTCTATTGTGGACGACAATGGCAATGATCTCCAGTTCGAGATGTGACCCCTCGCATGTGAAAACTAAGCGGGGCCGCAATGCCGAAGAAAGTCCACAACCTTGCCAATCCGTCAAGCTTCAAGGGCCAAGCACTTGACAGCGACGCAAGAGCACAATGGGGCTATGAACATAGCAAGGGCTTATTATGGCCATAACGTGGATGATATGATATAAAGGCAGAAAGCATGTTCAACCACAAAGAAAGAGAAAAGAAACACGCAAGTCTTGTCGCTAAGGGGGCTCCACCCCAACTCCAAACAAATAATAATGAGTTTATGAATGTAGAAGATCCTCTGAACGATACGATGCCATCCAGTCGTCCGCAGACGAGTGGTTGCAAAGGCCAGAGTATGTCATGCTTGACGCCTGTCTGTACGAGCGATCTATGATCGTGATAACATCGGGAAGAAAGTTTGTGAAGGAAGGCTCTGCATTGGGGATCGAACCTATCCCCGCAAGACTGTGGAGATTGGTGGTGAGAGCAGACCGTGCTGATGTTCGAGGACGTCCGGCTGAGGATGAAGTGATATGTTCAATGTGTGAGGAGGGCTGTTGCAACGGCACCTCCACACATGCGATTTATCCTGTAATGTGCGCGGTGGGTTTGTACAGTATCGTGGTTACATACTGGTCGCGGGGACATCAGCAAAATTCTAAAAATACAGAAAGAAAAGCAAGATGGGAAGTGATTGACATACCTTGCGCTTGTACCGGGTCGTTACACTCGTGGCGAGAACACCGTTCTTGATACTACTCGTGGCGAGATGGTTCAAAACCGTGTGGTTGGGGTAGTTCAAGACGCTGCTATCATCCTTCATCGGGGTGGTGCCGTTGAGGATGGACTTGCCCAGGAAGAGCGGCAGACTTGGCGGCGTAGGCGCATCGCCAATGACGTTGACCGCCTGCTTGTACTCCGGCGTTTCCTCGCTATCTTCCTCTTTGTCCAAATCCACCAGAAATTGCGGGACAATGCAGCGGAAGTCTCCTAGCAGGATCTCTTCCGGTTCTTCTTTGTCGGACTGCTCTTCCACCGCGGACCGGACCTGGTCGCTCCCCGAGGCGTCGGGAAGAACGTGGGGCGGGTGAACGCCAGGCGGGGCTCGGCTCCGAGAGGTCCTGTCGCTCCCGCTTCGTGTGCGACTGCTGTCGTCGGCACTGATTTCGATGTAGTTGACCAGGTGGTTTGTAAAGTCCACGGCGGTGGGAAGAGTGTCCGCGGCGCACATCTGCCCGTCCACGATGAACTTCAGATGATGCGTCCCCGGCCGAAGATTCAGGGTCGCGGACATGATGCGGGGGTTTTGTTCACTAGAGATCAGGATCATTAGCGACCACTGCGAATGGAAGAAGTCGCGACTGGGTCGCACGCATACCTTCTATGCAATCGATATTTCTTCTCCCAGTTGACAAAGGTCCCGGTGACGTAGACCTTATCGCCGGGTGCAGTCCATTCGATTGTGGTCGGCACCGCCCGCCCGACACCACTTGTGGTGTACGGCTCCAGCTCGTCCAGCGTTTCTTCCTCATCGATCGTCGGGCGTTGACCGGAGGCCTGTGGGCCGGCTCTCTCGTCCAGCAGTTGGTCGGAGGGTGCCGAGTTCAAGGAGTCCTCCGGTCCGAGAATGGGCGACCCGGGAGTCGCAGTAGCATCGCCAATGGGTAGCGGTAACCGCGGCGGCCGCTGGAGATGGGTGGACGTATTGTAATAGGTATTGGGAGGCGGGGCCGACGGGTCTATGGAGGGGTAGGGGTCCTGTTTCGGGGCGGAACGAGAAACCGGGACTTCGACAGGGGTGGATGGATCAAGGGAGGGCGGTTCGTGGGGGGGTTGTCCTGTCCGCTTCGGTTCGTTTACTTGACGCGGAGATGGATCGCCGACATTGCTGGATTGGAGAAGTTGCTGGGCGGTTGCTTGGTTTTCATGGGCGGGATGTCCGGTCGCAGTCTCCTTGGATGCCGACGGGTCTAGGGTGGTCGCTTTGTTGGTCCCTGAGGTCGCATTGAGTGATGGGCGGCGGTCAACTCTCCTGTCACCAGCGGAGGTGGTTGATGTGGCTGCGGAACCCGGGATCGAGTGGGCATCTCCGACCGGGCCCTTGGATGGATTGTTTCCCATCTGAGATCAAAGAATGTTTCCCGAGGCGGGAGGAAACGTAGGAGAAAGAGAGAAGAAAATAAGAAGAAAAAGGGGAAGATGCGAAGAGAAAAAAAGATACAAGTAAGAGAGAGGGAGAACGAAGGGAGAAGATGCGATCCAGGCGGGAGGGAGAGAGAGGGGGAGAGGAGAGGGGAGGAAATTATGCAGAACGTGCCAGCATCAGAACGTCAGAATCGAGACCGGAAAGAAGTGACCGAACAGGGAATTGAGCTTTTCCAAGTCAATCAATCGGTAAAAAGATGCGATGATAATGGGATTCTCGACCGGGAGACGGGATGAAGTTGAGAAGCAACGAGAGAGGAAGAAAGGATGATGTCGATGAGAGTTGGCTGACTAGGGCTTAGGGCTTAGTCAGTCAGCCCGACCACCCTCTAGTTAGGGACAGTACATCCAGTTACTTCTATACATCGCTCCTTTATCTGCACTTTCACCCACTTGCATTCTCTTCGCCAGATCAACTGTTTGTAACCGAATTCGAATAATGACGACTTTTCAAGGGTAAAGAATATAGGTCATCTGTCCTCTGCCATTGACCCCTATCTCAAACAATGGCGTGGATGACAGCGGTTGCGACAGCCCTGTCCTGCATCGTGTATCCATCGGTTTACATCATCACTGCTGCATACCTTCTTTTGCAGCTATTGGTCAAGGTCCTGGTCAAGGTCCTGGGCACGGTGCTGGTTACACCGCTTCTGTATCTGGGCAATTCGATCTTAAGCCTGATCCTCCTCCCCCTAAGGATCCTGGCCAAATTCGAGGTACGAGGGATACGAGCCGTGGCGCCATATGAAGTATATATGAAGAGGAGATTTGCTGATGTCTCGTGCAGTCAATCCTAATCTACCTGGGGGTGGCTATCGTGATGGGAATTGGGGCTGGTTTCATCGTGTATTACTCCAGCTCCACCGTGGTTAACCTGTTGGGTCACGCGATGGGAGCGCTTTGGACACCATCTGCCCCGCCCACCGGTCCCTCGGACAGCAAGGCTCTCCCGGGTCACCAGGTCCGGCAGGCCGGCCTCGTCAATGCGCCACTCTTTCTTCCCCGGGATCAGTGGAGGAGACGGGACGGGAAGAAAGCGCCAAGAGGGACCCGACAAGCTGGGCTACAAGCTTCGACGATTTTGGAGGAGGACAGTAGTGAATATTCAGATGAAGAGCTGGGATGACCCGGACTATGGCCATGGGCATGGTGCTTGTTTCTGTGTTGGATAGATAAGACCGGTACTCTGGTAGGACGACCCGATTAACCAGGTGGGCGTGCTTAATCAACCTGAGATATGCACGAACCCCTGCATATCCAGTGTTTCTGATCGGTCAAGCACGGAATCCTGGTTACTTTGCTGGTGGACCAACTCTAATTTTATCAACTATGACGACGACGATTGTTGTCTGATGTTTGTTTTGCGGTTCCATTTCCCCATCCGACCTCGCATAATCGGATTGTCCAGAGAAAGGGAAGAATGAAAAAGGCCATTGTTGACTAACGCTCTGGATAAAGTTATGTGGTCCGAGTGGACCCGGCCAGCCTTGGCCAAGAAGGATCATCAATCCTTATTGACTCCTTGGGAAAGGTCCCAAGCATGATTTAATCGGTAGGTATGTGGGTCAGACGAAGCCTCCGCCCTTTGTCTGTTGTCCTTTTAATCTTTGATTTTCTGGAAATCATTTCCTCTGCGCTTTCTTCCATTTTTACCCTCCCATCCCGGTGGATTGATCCCTTCTCTCTCGTCCACCGTCCTTCCTACCGAATGCCTCGCGTGCCTCACCTCTGATGAGTCGGATGCTTTATTCTACCTAGGTAAATCCCAGTGGCGCATCGCAGCCTCGACCGACGGTTTCCGGCAGACGTTTCGGGCTTCTGGAAAGCTTGTTGGTGGTAATCAGCGCTAGATGTTGGATTACAAGGGACGTGGCAGGACTTTCATTCCTCCTTTCTCGGTCGCGTGTGAACAATAAGGCTCGGCGAAATGGTCCTCCCTCGATCATATTTGCGCGGGCGAGTGCTTCTGGCTCTTCTCTGCTTGGTTTGCGTGGGGTTGTTTATCTCAAGGCGAGAACAAACGGCTTGGGTAGCTCAAACGCGCCCGGCGCCCCCGGGCTCAACCGGCGGACCCCTTCAACAAGCAGATGCCTCCCACGCCCTCGAAGGTCACATCGCTTTCTGGCGCCGGTTCCAGCACCTCCTCATCAAATATGGACCGAAAGCCGAACCTCCACTCCGGTTGGACAAGGCCCCGTCGATTCGATTCGAGCAGGCTAAACCGGATTTTCGTCCCCATGTGCTGGACATGCTGCCGGATGATGTGGAAAATATGAAGTTAGCCCACGCGGGGTTTGTCAAGGACATCACGTCGAGTCCACCCCAGTTACAATACACGCCAAACACGAGGGGCTTGGTCTCGACCGCAGGGGGGGCCTACCTCCCGGTCTTGGTCATCTCCCTTCGAATGCTACGAAGGACCGGCTCGGAGATGCCGATGGAGGTGTTCCTCGCGGACGACGAGGAGTACGAGGGCTACATCTGCGACGTGGTTCTTCCCTCCTTGAACGCGCGGTGCGTGGTCCTGTCGCACATTCTCGACGCTGTCCCGATGGAAGCAGAAATCCACAAGTATCAGTTCAAATTGTTTGCCATGATGTTCTCCTCGTTCGAGGAGATCCTCTTCCTCGACGCCGACGCATTTCCCCTGTTACCCCCCGATGACCTCTTCACCCACGAACCCTTCAAATCCAGTCACATGGTCACGTGGCCGGACTTCTGGGCGACCACCATCTCCCGGTACTATCACGACATCGTAGGCCAACCGAACCCAGTCCAGGATATCCGACAGTCGAGCGAATCCGGCGAACTCCTTCTCTCAAAGAAGACGCATCAGAAGACCCTACTCCTGAGCACGTACTACAACTTCTGGGGCCCCGACTACTACTATCCCCTACTGTCGCAAGGCGCATCCGGGGAGGGCGACAAGGAAACCTTCGTGGCGGCCGCGTTGGCGCTCGGAGAGCCATACTACCAAGTCTCGGAGCCCATCTGCGCAATCGGCCACCGCACCAAGGGCGGCATGGCCGGCTCCGCGATGGTCCAGTTCGACCCCACCGAGGACTTTGCGCTGACCCGCAACGGACAGTGGCGTGTGCGCGGCTCCAAGGCGCCCTCCCCGAAGGCCTTCTTCATCCACGCCAACTACCCCAAGTTCAACCCGGCGACAGTCTTCGACGATCAAGACGTCACGCCGACCTTCGCCGACGACGGCAGCTACACGCGCGCGTGGACGATCCCCGAAGACGTCATCGGCCAGTTTGGCTCGGACATCGAGAAGGCCTTTTGGCGGGAAATCCTCTGGACGGCCACCGAGCTCGAAGACAAGTTCGAGTCGTGGCGTGGCAAGAAGGGAATCTCGAAGACGACCCGGAAGTATTGGAATGCCGTCTTCGCAGATAAGCGCGCCAAGTAGAGTCTCGAGAGCGATATTACAATCGATTCTTTTTGGTCCTACTTCACAGATCGCTCCGGCCTCCCGTCACCCTTTCTCCCACCCGAGCTTTGGAAATATCCTGCATATTCTCTCGCCGGTAATCCCATAACCAATAGATGAATAACGGATGATCCATCTTGCCGAGTTGGATCGCATCCTGCAAAGCTGCTGGACAAGCTGCGCTGTGACGTCCATCTCATGACCTGGGGGAAGCCGCTGCATCGCGCTTAGCGAACGGTGCAGTCCATGTTCGGTCTGTGCTGGCGTGGGACGCCACGTCAGTTGATATATAACACATACATTGTTATGGATGCACCTACAGTGGACGTGCATGATGTGTGTTGTCTCTTGAGTTGGACTACTACCTACCTACCTACCGTCTACCTACTACACCGCCGCCCCTATCGATAGATAGATACCCACCTACTCCCTCAACCATTGAATCATAAATTTATTATTTATTAAAGATCTTATTCATTGCAATTGCTCTATGCTAACCAAATGCTCGTTGTACACATAGTCTCTAATATACAAAGAGTTGAAAATGCCGGCTGTAACCACTAACTATAGTAATACATATGGGAACCATTACGCCCACTTCAGGTACCCTCCCTAGGTAGGTAAGTAGGTAGGTAGGTACCTACCTACCTACAAAGGCGTCTCAAGAACCATACCGCTCTTCTCCGCCTTCCGAACAGCCTCATTGAACAAGTCCTTACAGCGCACGCGACTCCCCAGCCTCGCGCACAGCAAGAAAGCACCGCTCAGCTTCCGATGCAGACTATACGTTTCCTCGGGGGGCGGGGCGAGACGCTCGCGGATCATAACGGGGATGAGGTCGCGGACGCGGTCGGTGATAGTCTGGTTGCTGAAGTCGTAGACGTCGGGGGACGAGGCCATGTAGGGCTCAGCGAGGGTGACGATGGAGGTGACGTGGGCGTCGACCATGGCGGGGGATTCGTGGCCGGTCAGGTAGCCCAGCTCGATGGAGAGGCGCTGGCAGGTTTGGCGGTCGCCGCGGGAGGCGGCGAGGAGGGTGCTGACGTATTTGGAGATGAAGGCGCGGGGGAACTCGCGGGAGGCGCCGAAGTCGAGGAGCTCGAGGCGGTTGGTGTCGGCGTTGTAGAGGAAGTTGGTCCAGTTGGGGTCTGTCTGCATGTATTGGAATTCGATGATCTCGCGGAGGCAGAGGCGTAGGATGTGCGTGCCGATCCAGTCGCGCTGGGCCTGGGTCATGTTTTGGACTTTGGTGACGGCGACGCCGTCGACGCGTTGCATGGTGAGGACTTGTTTGCCCGAGGCTTCGGCGATGATTTCGGGGACGAGGAAGGTGGGGTCGTCGTGGAGGAGGGCGCGGAAGCGGTTGGCGCCTTGGGCTTCGCGGAGGTAGTCGCATTCCCAGGCGAGTTCGGTGCGCGCGTTGGCGATGGTCTTGTCGAGGTAGAGGCCGCGGGGGAGGAGGCGGGAGGCGGTGAGGAGGATGGAGAGGTTGTTGAGGTCGGAGTCGATGGAGTCTGCGACGCCGGGGTACTGGACTTTGACGGCGACGCGCTGTCCGGTCTTCTTGAGTACGGCGCCATGGACCTGGCCGATGGAGGCGGCTGCCATTGGGACGTCGTCGAAGGAGGAATAGAGGTCGCGCCAGTTGGGGCCGAGGTTGTCTGCGAGGACCTTATCGCGTTGCGAGGCCGGCATGTAGTCTGCCCGGTCCTGCACTCGTTGGAGGACCTGCTGGATGGAGTCGGGGAGCATCTTGGAGTCTGTGCCGCTGTTAGCAGTTGCAATACGTGACACCTATCTGGACTGTCTACGAACCTTGGAAGCTCAGCATCTGGCCCAGTTTCAGGGCTGCCCCACGCATCTTGGAGAGCTTGGCCACGAGACGCTCCATGTTCCCCGCACTGAACATGACAGACCCAGCGTTGTCATCGTGGCTGCCTGTAGCCCTGCGGAAGCCCTCGCCCATGGCTCCCAGAGCCATCGAGGTGGCCAGACCACTGTACTGCCATAACCTGCCAAGACGCGAGGAGGGCACCCGGGATTCGGTCATCTGATAGGCGTCATCATTCTTCACATCCGCCACGATGCTCGGGGTTTCCTATAGTGGACGTCAATGCTTTGTACCCTTTGATTGAGCGGCGCCGATGGTACGTACAGTGAGAATCGGCGACGCTGGTTGATCCGCCGCGACACTATCCACCTTCTCCGTCTCACGATCCACACGAGACGGAGCATTCTTTTGAGCCGCCAACTTATACGGGTTGAACCCGTCCGTAGCTGCCTTTTGCGAAAGCACCCTAGCCACCCTGGGACTGTGGAAAACCTGGCTCATCACTTCGTCCGGAATCTCCCCCTGTTCTTCAGGCGACGATGTACTCTCCGTTGGGGCATCCTTAGTAGACGCCGAGGTGTGAAACACATCTGCATTGATCCCATCCTTGGCGCTCACTTGCACGTCGCTCGCGGATTTAGGCACTTTGACTCTGGGGAGCCCAGACAAGTGGGTACTGGACTCCGCCGAAGGCCGATAGAACACATCCTGCTGCGGGCTGACCCCTACCTTGCCCTCCTCACCTCCACTGTGTTCCGTCACAGACGCGGGGATCTGAGCCTCGGCTCGTCGTTGAGAATGTTTGGCCTCGTCGGGGGAGAGGGATGCGGCGTGCGAAGGAGCCACAGTCGGGGCGGGAGACGGGTGCTGGGGTTTGGGCGCGTGATCGGGGACATCAGGTTCGTCGAAGCGTCGAGCAAGGGCGGCTGCGGCCCGTGCGGTCATAATCAGACCCTCAGTCTGACTCTGAATGCCCTTGGTCAGGGAGGAGGTCCGAGTGAAGACATCGAGCTGTCGCTGGCGCAAAGCCAGGTGCTTGGAGGCGATGGAGGTGGTGGCATTGAGCAATTGGATAGCGTCTAGTAAGCGCTTACCCGACATTGTAATATAATTGCACAGACAGTCCCTAGAGAACAGACTCTAGAGCGCACACATAGCGAACGTAAGACTCTCCAAAGTTGAAGCTTTTGCTGCAGCGAATCGGCCATCGGGCGATCCGGCGGTGTTTTCTGCCGGGACCCACCGCCCCACCGCCGGCCAACTCCGGTTCTTTATCGGCAAACAAACAATCATGATGTAGTCATAGATAAGACCTTCTTCCCTCTCTTTTCTTCCTCTTCCTCTCCTTCTTTCTCACCACTCAACCCTTCTCACTACTCGATTTCCCAAGTGGATAATGCCTGATGATCAACAAGAATAGTGTACAAGTTCTGGAGAATGAGATCCACGATCTCGAGTCTCGCTTGCGAGACGCCAAGTCCCGTCTAGCGTTGACCTCTACTACACCCAACGATGGCCCCAAACCCAGCCCTATACCCCACGGTATGTATATACCACAGCAAGCACCACCTACCAAGATACCAGGCATCCAGAATGAATCCAACGCTAACCAGCACACAGATCCCATTCCCACCCCATTAGACCCCACCCACGCGCTCCTCCTCCTCTCCGACACCGCCCTCCCCCTAGGCTCCTTCGCCTACTCCAGCGGTCTAGAGTCCTACCTAGCCCACAACAAGCCTCTCCCACCGGGCACCACCCCCACCACCTCCTTCCACCGCTTCCTAAGCCTCTCAATCGCCTCCATGGCAAGCACTTCAATCCCATACGTCCTAGCCGCCCACCGCGACCCCTCAGCCCTCGAATCCCTCGACAACGACCTCGACGCATCAACACCCTGCGTCGTCGCCCAGCGCGCCAGCATCGCGCAAGGCCGCGCCCTGATCGGCGTATGGGAGCGGGCCTTCCGCACTACCTACGCCGCGGACCCGCTCTCGGCCGGCCCGTCATCCTCATCCTCGGCCGTCGCGGCGGCCGCCAGCGTCGAGCGGCTCTCGGACGCGCTCAAGTCCGGCTTTGATCGCGCCGATCAGTTGGGGCCTAAGGGCCACTTTGCGCCGCTGTGGGGCGTCGTCTGTGTTGCTATGGGGGTGGATATCCGCCAGACGGCGTATGTGTTTATGTTGAATCACGCCAAGGCGGTGCTTAGTGCTGCTGTGCGCGCGTCTGTCATGGGGCCCTACCAGGCGCAACGCGTGCTGGCGAGCAAGGAATTGCAGGATATGATCGCGGAGCGGATCGGTCGGGAGTGGGAGACGGCTGTGGAGGATGCCGGGCAGGTGGTGCCGCCATTGGATCTGTGGGTCGGGCGGCACGAGCTTTTGTATAGTAGAATATTTAATTCGTAATGCATCAATTAGATAGGTTTGTGTTTTTTTTTCTTTTTTTTTTGCCCTAGCAGAAAATTGCTGGTGAGAGCCATTCATTCCAAATGGAGTTCATTTCGATTCGTAGCTAGCGCTGCCAAACCGTCATCAAACAAACTCGTTGCATCTCTCCCATGCCGTTTCCCAAAGTAATCCTACATACATCGCAATGCACGCCTTGCGAACCCACCCAGCTGACATGCGAACACTGATGTGGGTATCCAGAAAACCTCCCTGTACGACGGGACAGAAGGAAACGAACAGTCAAAGAAAGAGAATGGGGGGAAGAAAGAAGAAAACAAAGAACCCGAGGACCAGAGATCCGCAATTATCTGGCCAATATGCAAAGGCAATCGTTTTGCCGGGGGAAACGAAAGATTCAAAATCGGAACGCCGGCCCCTTTGATATCCTATCCAGCTAAAACCGTACGCGACTGAAACACCGCACCGTAAACCTTTTCCGTGATTTAGGGGACACAAAACGAGGATCAAAAAAGAGAAAGAAAAAAAAAGAAGGGGAAAAATAAAGGGATAATAAAAGGCGTAAGTCAAGGGACGAGAATAAAATGGAGTAAGAGGCAATAGGAGGGTAGAAAGGAACAAAGGGCGAAAGAAAGAAGAAAAAAGGCTATAGTACAAGAAGGGTAGGTGAGATGAGATCGAGAAAGGGTGCATCCTCGATCACAGAGTAACGTGCATGTAGTCGTTATTCCCAAAGGACCGGTTGCAGTTGGGACACTTGCGGGATCGGGACTTGAGACGTTCGCCCACACAGTCCTTGCAGAAGACGTGACCGCAGGTCTTGATTGCAGTGTTCTTGAAATTCCGGCGACAAACTGTACAAAGGGCAAGAGTCTTTTCTCTTTAGTTAGCACGAGCTCATATGGTGGGTAAGAGTCCAGAACGGGGCGTGTGCTTACCCTCAACATTTCGTACTCGGAGGACGAATTGCCAAGACTTTTGTTCTTCCAATTCTCCAAGCTCTTCTTGGTATCGGCGAGCGTTGCCTTCAAGGCTTCGACCTCCGTCTCCGCTTGACGACACGCACTCGATGTGCTCGCGAGAGTGGAATCTTTCGACTTGGCGACGGTCTTCAGTTCTGTGATCTGACCCCGTAATCCGTCCATGACGATGCCGTTCTCGGTGATCTGTTGTTGCGCGGCGTAGTGTTTACTCATCATCGAGTTGAGTGCCTCCTTCGTCTCGCTCACTTGCTTCTCCATGTTGGCCAGCAGAGAACGAGTGGCCCCCTCGGCCTCCTTCAACTGGGCGATGATGTCCGAGCTCTTGGAATTCTGCATCCGCAGGGTGCGCACCTCCATCTCCCGCGCCTCCTTGCTTTTCATCGCTGCAAAATACTTCTGGTCGGCCTTTGATTTTTCGGCCACGAGCCGCGCGACCTTCTCCTCCAATGCGCCGAAGTCCGTCACCTTCTGCGATGCTAACGAAGAGTATTTTTTGCAGGCGGTTTGCATCGACGATAATTCCGTATTGAGCATGGAGTATTGGCGTTCCAGGGTCTGGTATTTGGTCCGTAACTCTTCAACTGGCGTGTCGTCAAGCGCCGGTTGCGCGGCCTTGGCGCTGTCGAGTTGCAACCGTAGTCGTTCCACCTCAGATTCCATCGAAGCAATCTGGGCTTTCCCGGCCTCCGCCAAATCCTGGACCTTGGTGGTGGCCGTCCTTTCTTGTTCCTGAGCGGCTTTTCGCATTTGCTGGTCGGCCAATAATTCGTCGCGGGCGTTTCGTATGCGTGCTAGATCATTCTCCGCGCGCATCAACTGCGCTTCCTTTTCAGCAATAGCAGCTTGCGTCTCTTCGTCCACCCGGTTGCGGTATGCGGTTCGTTCCGATCGTAATTTGGCCGACTCTTCCCGAAGCTGCACGTTGGTCGCCTCTAGATGGTTGATCCGTTTCACGACATCCTCATACTGAGATTTCAAGTACTTGAACAAGTCCGTGTGCGCATAATCGTCATCCGTCAATTTCGAGTGCTGGCGAGTTAAGGTTAGCCCCGTCTCCGTAGTGGGGAGTAGTTGAACGCCTGATGGCGACCCACCTTGATATTCAAATCCGTAATCTGACCCAATAAACTGGTGTTCTCCGCCTCTAGCTTCTGCAGATGCTCCTTCTGCTTCTCTGAAACGGCTGCGAGTCTATGGTACGCCTCCTCCGACTCGGGGCTGCGTTCAACGCCAGGCGTGGCGCCATTCGAACCGGCCTGATCCTCTCGTTCGCGTTGCCCCGATGCGCTGTCGCCCCCTGGTCGCTGCGCGCCGAAGATGTACTGCTTTTCCAACTTGGCGGCGGTCAAGCTGCGCGCACGGTCCAGTTTCTTTTCCGCTACCATGTAGCGTAACGAGGCCTCTTCCAAACTCTCCTCGAGTTGCTGCTTTTCAGACAAAGCCTTTTCGAGCTCCGCGATGGTGGATTTCTCTTCCGACAATTTCTTGGCGAGTTGGCTTTGTAAGTCGGACACGTCGGGGGACGCCTTTGCTGCGTTGGCGAGAAAGCCGGAGACAATGTGACGGATGCCCTCTGAGCGGGATTTTAGATGTTTCTCAAACTTCTCGGATTCATCGAAGATCAGCGAACTCTGGAAAGATGGGACGTCTACCAAATCGGTTAAGCTCGTTCCTCCAAGGACTATTTCCTGCGACATACCTTGGGTATTTCCGGGGGTTCCCATGAGAATTTTTATTTCGTCAATCATCTACGTTAGGCGTTAGATTTGGACTTCACACATGTCACACATGGAAAGAGAATGAAGAGAAAGATAGATTGCAGGGTAACCTACTTGTTGATACCACGCATCGATTATCCGAAGATGGTCGTTGTGATAGGCCGTCGCTTTGGACATCTCTTTCACCTTGGCTTCCAAGGACGATTTTTCACGTTTGTATTCCTGCATCTGGCGCCAAATCGCATCCTTCTGGAATCGCTATCAAGGGAGGCAAGTCAGCATGAGGGATCGTCAGGATTCCAACGACGCAGCGCATCTAGAATTTCGAGATTAGATCCGACCAAGAGGGGACCTCGTTGGATGAATCGATTCCCATATCGACTACTAGAGAGGAGTGAGACTCACCTCCAAATCATCCTTCCAGGGCATATCAGCATCGGGGTGAGGCTTCCCCCCGCCGTTGACCGAAGTGGCCTGTTTCTTCAAGGGGGGAGCCGAGTCATTGTGATCGTAGGTGGCGCCTCTCTTCCGGTCTTCCATCTTGACGAAATCAGACTCGGAAGACGCGACGGACGTGGGTTCGGCGGCCGGCATCAGTGGCTAGAAAGGCATAAGTTACAAAAGGAGAGGCCGTTCCCCACCAAGCAGCGACAGAACCGGAAAGTAGATGCCACCGCAGGGTCCGATCGTGATTCAATAAGAGGAAACAAAGAAGGACAGCGAGAAGATGGGGAATGAGCGGTGATTCTCTTCGAATTAAGAGGGTGTGGGAGTGGGAAGAAGGGGGGTAAGTAGAGGGGGAGTGGGTTGGCGATGGAGAAAAAGCGAGGGAGAGAAGAGCGAGAGAGTGAAGAGGGAAGAGGGATGGAAGTTGAGATAAGCAGGAGGATTTTCGGCCTTGAACTTCTGGCTCGTCCAGTCGTTTCTTGGCGTTCTTGCCTGGCTGCTGACTCAGCCCGTCAAGGCCGCCTCCCACGTGACCGAATCCACCTGCTGCCTGAGGAACTAGGCCATTTTCGGCCTTTTTCTGCCGTCGAGCCTGAGGATCTCCATCCCACCTTTTCCACTCGCTGTTTCAGCGCATCCATGGTCCCCTCTTCTTCCGACAGCCATGTTATGCTGCGAGAATGAAATCCTTCTCTAGCTCTGCCATCAGTATGTTTCTTGTCGCTTCTCTCTCTTGCTTTGGTCAAAGGATTGGCCGCTGACCCGATGTGCCTACAGATAAGTCGGGGAAGAAGTTTGCTCCAAAGGCGCCGGTGCGCCGCGCCGCTGCGGGAGCGACTTCTGCCCCCCCGTCCCAGCGAAAAGCCAGTGTCGCATCGCAACCATCGGCGTCGCATACTTCTCGACCGACACCACAACCGACGCCTCAGCCTACGCCGCAGCCTACGGTTGAGACCGCGACCCCGGAACCGACGCCCCCGACGACTACCGTTGAGCCTTCTATACCCGTCGAACATCCCACCCCCGAGCCCGCCATCACCCACAGCCCACATGTCACGCAACAGCCTTCTACGACGGCCATTCCGATCCCTCGGCCTAAACGGAAGGCCTCTGTCACGGAACCGGTGCCGATAGTGGCAGGTGTTACTCCTCCGCCGTCGCAGACCATCGTCCCGCAGTCACAGACCACCATCCCACCATCACAGAGCGTACCAGCCGATACCGCGCCAATCCCTTCGATAGAGGGGTTGCCCGAGCTTTCAGAGACAAGAACAGAAACTCCGGTTACCGTTTACCATGATCAGCGTCCTGAGTCCGTTTCCGCGCCCGAACCCGTACCAGAGCCCGAGCCATCCGCCACACCCGCAACGGAGATTCGTCCCTCAAAGCGCCCCAGGAGATCGGTAGAACCATCGGTGGAGGATGCGGAAATCCAACCGCTAGAGAACGGCGTGCCCTTGGCCACACCCCCACCGACGCAGACCCAGTCGGTTGCAGAGACGACAGAAGATCCTATAGTGAAGGAGCCGGCCGCCAGTAAAACTCGAAAGACGGCCACCAAATCAAGAGCTCGAAAATCGACCCAGAATACCGGCGATGGTACAGCCACCCCGAAGAAGCCGAGGAAACCTCGGGCGCAGAAGACGCGCGAGCCGACTCCCGAGGACGCCGAACAGGTGGAGATTGCACCTGCAGTGGTCAAAATGTCAGAGCTCTGCAAGGACCTCCGGACGGGCAAGAAGTCCAAGCGCGAGGTGGAATTGCGCAACATGGAACTCGCCGAGCTGGAGCGCAAGCAAAAGGCGCAGCAAGAAGACAACAGTACCGAGCAAACCCCGGCGCGACCGGAGAAAGACGACCCAACTCCAGCAGCCGAGAACGACTTGGGGCTCGACAGCAAGTCACAAGCCGGACCGGTCATGCGCATCGTGAACGGGGAAATCGTGCTCGACACAGCATCTCTACAAGTCGATCGCCACGCGGACGCCGCGCGGAACGGAGGGGAGCTCGAGGACGTGGTGGAGAACTCCCTCACGCGGAGAATCAACCAAGCGACCTACGGAAAGCGCTCGAAGACAGAGTCATGGGACGAAGAACTAACAGATCTCTTCTACCGCGGCCTGCGCATCTTTGGCACGGACTTCATGATGATCAGCAAGCTATTCCCGGGGCGATCACGACGGCAGATCAAGCTGAAATTCAACAGCGAAGAGCGCCGCGATCCGGGCCGCATCAAAGACACCCTGTTAGGCCCCAGCGAGACCATCGACATCACGACCTACTCCGAGATGACCAACACAGTCTACGACGACCCCAAGGTCATCCAGCAGGAGCTCGACGAGGAGAAAAGACAGATCGAAGCCCAGCACGCCAAGGAAAAACAGGCGCAGGAAGAGCTTCTCCGCAATCCGGATGGCATGGGCGATGCCAACGGTGTCGACAGTAAAGGCAACACAGCCAAGAACAAGCGGGGCCTCAAAAGGCAGTCTGCGAAGAATGCCGGGGGCGGAACCGAGGAGGTTCTGGGTTCGATTGATGACTTTCCTTGAGTTATGTGTCTTCGTCTTTTTGACGTTGAAATTCCATTTTATATCCATCAGGGTGGTGGTCTGTCTTTTTTCTGTTTCCTCTATCTATGACTGGGTATGTACGGCGTTGAGAGCGTTTCTGATGTATACAATTGAGGGGCTAAGCCGGTCTGGAGTCCGGTCTGGGTACTTTTTTATCGTTAACTATAATGAATTGTTATGATCGCTTTGCAGATCTACTTGCTATTTCGATGAGCATGCTGTTCCAAATGTACAATCCACGCAATGCAGTCTGATAACCCAGCCTAGGTCCCTAGGTCTTGATCACCGGCGCCTCGTCGACCCAAACCCAGTGCTAGTAGTCGGGGTAGAAAACCTCGATGATCGCGAACTACCCTCGCCCGGATCATCCCTCCCAGCCCGCCTACTTCCAAACGAAGAGCTCGACGAATTGCTTCTCCTCCCCATCTGATACCCAGCCGCCGCCCCACCCAACGCGCCCGTCCAGAACCCAGGCCTCCAGCCCTGCCCATTCCTCGTCGACGCAAACCCATCGTCCCCGACACAGCTGCTATACGGCGGCGGCGGCTGTCCAGGATAAGGACCGCCGTCTCCTCCATCGTCGCCTCCCCAGCCACCGCCACCCCAACCCCGACCAAACCGACCAGGCGGTCCCCCGCCCCTCAACCCAAAGCACTGCCGCACCATCGGCCACAATATCAGCACGAAAACCGCAGCCATGAACCCGAAAAAGATCAGATCCCCCAAGACAGCCAACACGCCGCGCGGACCGGCACCCTTCCAAAGCCGCTCATCCTCGCGCACAGGGCCAAACCGCTTCTCGCCCAGCTCAGTCAACAGCATGCGGTACTCGACGCCGCAGGAGCCCTTGAGCACCCACGGGTCGTCTGCGTCGCGGTAGCCCTCGCAGATGACATCGGTAGCGCCTAGCTTCAGCTCCGGGGGGAGATCGGCGGTGCAAGTCCACTGAATGTCTTCCTCGTCATAGTCGTAGCCTTCGTTGTTGCAGCGCATGACGTCAATCGGGTACATGTCGCAGAGGCGTTTGGAGGGGCCTGTGCATTTGAGCTGGGGGATGGGCGAGACGCGCCGGGAGCTGGTTTGTCGATTTGCGCGGAGGGTTAGGGATTGGACTGTTGATAGGAGGATGGCATTTTTGCCAGGGGGGCGTTGGGTGGATCGGCTGGAGGCGAGGGTGGGTGTTATGAGGGAGAGGGAGAGGAGAAGTTGTAGGAGGGCGAGGGGATTCATTGTGACTGGTTGGTTAGTGTGCGTAGATTCAGCTAGTGTAAGTGAGGCAAATAGGCATTTTCCGTTGACGAGAAGGTAAAGAGAAGTCTGGATTTCTTCTCCTTGTTAAGGTGAGGTGGAAGAAAGGAAGCAAGCTGAAGGTGATGTTCCTGTTCGGTTTAGCCGCGGGCGGTCGATCTGATAAATCATCGATCATCCGAAGAATAAATTCATCTTTCTTCCTCCCACTCCAACTCTCAGTCACAACCCAGGTCTGATCTCCCTGTCTGCCTACTGGAGCGGCAATGGGCAATTATCATTCCGAATCTTACACTGGCTGACAATGGCGTTTCAGCAACAAAGTATGAATCCCCTCCCTATCCCCATCGTGGTCGGCGACTGATCGGGATGAACTCCACAGATGAACCCGTACCCATCTCGGGTCAATCCTCGTACGTGTCCGAACGGGTTTAGGAACTTGCGCGTGGTGTCTGGATGGCTAACGGACGGTGTAGCTTGTCGTTCACCCAGGGTTTCCTTCTTGGACAGCTCTCCGTGGTGCTGTTGATCGGCGCCTTCATCAAGTTCTTCATATTCGGCGAAGCTCCTCCGCATCCTTCTCGGGGACTGTCCCAGCGTGCTGCCACCTACCGACGCTCGAATTCGATATACAACGTCAAGGAGAATGAGACGGGGCCTCGATCTCTGAGGGAGAAGCCGTCGACCTCAAATGTCCTCCGTCCCGTTCCGTCATCGTCGACCAACACCCAATCCATCCTCCGCAAAACCTACTACAGCGCGATTCCACCCAACCAGGCCTTGAAACATGGCCGACATCGCATCCATCATTCGTCCCATCAGCCGGAATCCTTGGACTGGTTCAATGTCCTGATCGCGCAGACAATTGCCCAGTACCGACAGACGGCGTACCTTCTCAAAGACGACCCCTCCGCTTCCATCCTGAGCTCTTTGACAGCAGCGTTGAACAATTCAGAAAAGAAGCCTTCCTTCATCGACAAGATCTCGGTCACGGATATCTCGATTGGCGAGGAATTCCCGATCTTCAGTAACTGTCGCATTCTTGCCGTCGACGATCCCAACTCGGACGGAGGACGGCTCCAGGCGTTGATGGACGTCGATCTCAGCGACGACAACCTCTCGATCTCAGTCGAAACGTCGTTATTATTGAACTACCCCAAACCGAACTCCGCTATTCTCCCCGTTGCACTCTCGGTCTCCGTCGTCCGTTTCTCAGGCACGCTGTGCATCTCCCTCGTCCCGGCCTCCACCCCGCCCTTCCATGGGCCCTCTCCGGCCCCGTTTCCGCCGACTGCCGAGTCAGCGGCAGGGTCTTGGTCGCAGGGGCCTAACAACTCAGGTGACCGGCCAGGAAGTTCCGACGGGAGTCCTCCGAAACGCACGCCCAAGAGCAACGTCGCGTTCTCCTTCCTCCCAGATTATCGACTTGATCTCTCAGTACGGTCACTGATTGGCTCCCGCAGCCGACTCCAGGACGTGCCCAAAGTAGCACAGCTCGTCGAAGCTCGCGTGCACGCCTGGTTCGAGGAGCGAGTGGTCGAGCCCCGGGTGCAAGTAGTCGGGCTGCCCGATCTCTGGCCGCGGATGGGCCGCACAGGCGTCCGCACCGGCGAAGACTCCGAAACCGGCTCCAACGCAGCCTCCCGAACGGCGATGTCCACCGACATGGGCGAGAATCACCCGCACGGCGACATGCTGGACCAGCAGCCGGAGGGACTACGGTTCCGGGGCGGACTAGGCGGTCGGCCGCCGTTCGACGCAATGTCGCGGACCAGCAGCTACAACGCCGAGCCGGGGGAACTGCGCAGTTCCAGCATGGTCCGAGAACAGAGCGGGGGAGGCTTAAGCGACCAATTCCACGTTCCGGGTTCTCTGCCCGGGGGGACACCAGGTGTGTGATTGTACTTATGATCAGGGATCAAAACAGTTCCCCCACATACGACGCCTATATGAGGTTTAAGAAAGAATCAAATAGATAATGTAGAAAACAAAAGCGGAAGGATATCATAATCAAAGCCTTGGTATATACAGATCATAGATTCATTCATGCAATTGACTAACGACACCACAAAATATATGTGGTTCTATTCCTATCTTATCTTTCGAAGATCCGACCCGGGTCTACTGCGCAGCAGCCACAGGGGCATTCCCAAGAGTCTCGACATACGTCTTGCGATGGGGGTTAACATCGACGTCACCGCTACGGTTGAGCGGCGTCCACTTGGGCTCTTCCTGGAAGAGACGCATAGCTTTGACGTACTGTATATCATCAGCAACCATCAACCATAAATCATCCAACCAGCACATCGCAATCGCCCCAAAAGTGCTAGAGAAACGGGGAAGAGGGAACCAACATTCTGATCATCAGTCGTAAACCGATGATAAATGCCCGCCGGCAAAACAATCAAATCATCCCTCTTCAGCAAAATCCGCACCCACTCATCCTCCTTCCCCCTCACATCAAAGTATCCCTGCCCGTCGCGGATATAGCGGATCTCCTCGTCCTCATGCAGATGCTCCGCGAAGAACATCTTCACCTTGTCCTCGTAGGCCTCGCCCATCGTCGTGGGGGACACGGTCACCTCGTCGCGGTTCTTGTAGCCGCGTTCGGCGGCCAGCGCGTCGACCATGTCGATCGTGGGGCAGTGGCGGTAGAAGACGCCGATGGAGGAGAGGTAGGCTTCTGTTACCGGGCGGTTGGAGTCGTGGGGGAGGCGTTGGTCGCCCTTTTGTTATTTATTCTGTTGTTAGTTGATTGATTTGAGTCTGTGATTGGAGAGGGGGAGGGGGTGGGTTGGGAGTTGGTTTCGGGAAGAGGGTGGACTTACCGGCTTGTTGTCGTACCAGTAGGCCTTCATTTTGAAAGATGATGTCTTGTTGGGTTCTATATTTGATGTGGTGAGAGTTGTAGGTGGGATGCTGTATAAAGTCGCGATGATGCTGCGGGGTGAGAAAAACCAGCCCCGCCATTGGTCACCGATTGCACCGATTGCGACAAGATTACTCAGCTGATATTATCCAGCACATAACTATAAGTATAACACGCCTTTTAAGATAGGTGGGATGTGTATAATTAACAGTAGATGTCTGCTTTTCTACGGAGAAGGTATAGACTTCAGATATTCTATCATCTAATAATAGGTGGCGATTATAGAGTAGGTACGGAGTAGTGTATAATGAGTTCTTCAATTCAATCCACCTATGGTGAGTCTATACAATGCAATTACATACTATACAGTTAGAACGACTACTTCTTCGCGGCGGCCTTGGCGATGCGTCGTTGTATCTCTTCCTTAGACAGGATTTTGACGGCGTTGTTGGAGAAGACATAGCTCAGGCCCGACCAGATGGTTGTTCCTGCAACGAGGTATCTAGACGGGTTAGTATGGTGTTTTAAAAAATAAAATAAAATAAAATAAGAAGGAAAAAAAAAAAAATAGCAAGCAAAAAAGAAGAAAACATACAACAGCCGGGATTCGCATGTGGTCACCCACCATACTACTAACCGGCCGGCGTGTGGCTTAAGTACGGCTGAGCGG